ATTCTTTTTCAGTAGTAAAATAATTTAATTCTGCTCCTTTTAGAGTTCTAGATATAAATGTTATAACTTCTTCATCACCTTCATTATTTAATTGTGACAAAGCGGCGGCTATAGTATGGTAACTGGCATCAGTTGTTAATATGTAAGGTTTATTAGGATCAGGAAATTTTAAAGTGATTGTATCAATAAATATTTTTTTCACATTATTAAAAGCTGTTTCATGCTCAGGTAACCATTGATAGCCTTTACTTTGTTGCAATAAATTCATTAAAGGTCTACATATTTCAGCATAATTTTTTGCGAATTTTGTATAAAAATTAACAAAACCAAGAAAGCTTTGCAAGCTTTTCAAATTTTTTGGAGCTTTATAATTTTGAATTATTTCTAATTTGCTTTTTTGAGCTTTTATACCTTGTGGAGTTATAATATGTCCCAAAAATTCAATTTCTTCTTGAACTAATTTAGACTTTGAAAATTTCAATGTATAATTATCTCTTCGACAACATGTAAATAATGTTCTTAAATGATAAATATGTTCATTGAAGGTTTTAGAAATACATAGTATATCATCCACAAATGGTATTATAAATTGTTTTAAATCGCCAATTGACAAATTTAAAGCTCTCACTAAAGCTGCTGTACTAGTACATGTACCGAAAGGAACTACATTAAATTCGTAGGTATTGCCCTCGATTATAAATGCTGTATATTTTTTACTTTCTTCTTCGAGAGGAATCTGCCAAAAACTACTTGTTAAATCAAAACTAGAAATAAACTTTACTCCGAAACAATGTTGAAAAACATCATCAATATGTAGTGGGGCTTCATAATCTTTAACTAATTTTTTATTCAATTTTCGAGCATCTAAACAAAATCGCACTGATCCGTCTTTTTTAATGCTTATAACAATTGGATTAATATAATTGCTAATTTATCGTCGAATAACGCCATCTCTTAGCATTTCTTTGATTGCAATTCGAACATTTTCTCGATAATTTAACGGTATAGGATACTGTTTTGAGAAATATGGCTCTTTATCTTTCAAAATCAATTTATGAGTATATACTTTCAATAAACCTAATTTTTTACGAAATACATCTTTAAATTCGTACACAAGCGAAGCTATCTCATTTTTTTGAGCATCGGTAAGGTTAGAGCTTTCATCAACTTTCTCATTAATTTCCCCTCGAGTTAGATTGTCAGAATCATTATTTGTAATGCTTGCATCTATTTCATTTCGAGTTAGATCAATGAGTGATGGTATGTCATCCCCAAAATCCGAGACAGTATCATACTGAATAGTTAAGCTTTGATATGTACTTTCATCCATAAATGCATCGTTATATTTCATGTTTTCCAAAGTATTATTAATTTCAAAATAAATTTGCACTTTAAATGTGTCAAGTTTGAGCTTTATATTTTTCATAGTATCATAACCGATAATACAATCTTTAATTAATCTAGGAATAATTATGAAGATAATATCAATGTATTGACTACCCCATTTTACATTCAAATAAATTTGTTTTTTCAATCTCACCGATTTTTGGCCTGTAGCTACCTTAATAACGTGTCCACTAATCGGCAAAGTAGGTTTATCTTTAAAATTACTTAAGTTTTGATTGTAAAATTCTTCTGAAATAGCAGAAACTTCACTACCCGAATCAAGTAGAGCTTTTACTGGAATGTTTTCTAATAAAAGAAATATTTCAGGACAAATTCTGCCCCCATTGCTATTATCGTTATTTGATAATTCACCGTTAATTTCATGTCTAGGATCTTCAAAAATAGTTAATAATTCTTTTTGTAATAAATCGTTACTTGATTTTATTGTTGCAACTCGTTGCAAGCTTTTGCATTTATCCGATTTCCGAGAAGCAACATTTACTCGTTTCCCGAGGAAGTACTAGGTACATCTTGTAAAATCGGTTTTGCAATATTCTTATTTTTATTAGCTTTATTATTCTTATTATTCGACTTACTATTTTCAATCGTTATGCTATTAATTTGTTGTTCTCCGCCGCTATCTTTTTGAGCGTGACGTGAACTGATATAATCATCATTATCCAAAGAAAATAAAACTTTAATAAACTCTGATATCTTTTTTATATGTCTAGCTTGAACTAATAAACGCACATCTCTATCAAAATGTCGAGATAATTTATCTATTAATTCTTCTTCATCTAGATTTTCATTTATATCAAAAGCTAGATTAATCTTACGTATAGCATAATTATAACGTGATAATTTTCCACCAAAATATTTTCCAAATTCTATTTCGCGAGTAATATTTCTACGTATTTCAGCGTTCCAAAATTTCTCTTTAAATAACATTTTAAAATCTTCAAAATTTCTAATTTCCCTCTGTACTAAATCATACCAAGAAGAATTTACTCCCGTCATAGATTGAGATAACAAACATAACAATTGAGCAGTATTATAATTACTTGCTTGCAAATAACGTTTGAGATCATTTAAATATTTTACTGGTCGATATTTATAACTATCGTCAAAAACTGAACACGTTAAAGCAGGTTGCTTAATAGTTTCAATAATAGTTTCATTAATAATTGATCTATTTTGTTCATTATTCTTAATTTTATCAATATTCTCACGAAGTACTGAAAATGTTTCATTCATTTCCATAGTAACATTATTTTTTGCTCGAACAATATCATTAAAATTATCTTCACATCTATCTTTTAAAATAGCAATAATCTCATTTGACTTTTCTAAATTTGATTCTAAACTCTTAATTATTTGATCTTGTTCAACCATTTTATTCGTTAATCTATCAACTTTATTACTTAAATTGTTAATAGTTTCACAAATTGTCTTAAAATCATTTTGTAATTTAAATTGATCAGTATGTCTTTAATTCATCTACTACGGCTTTTTCCCATTCGTGCGTTCTTTTTTGTTGCACGGTCAATTCTCCACCAATTAGTGATTCACTAAGTTCGTTAAGAATTGTTTCGGGAGCACATTCAGTAGAATTATACATTGAACGTTTTTCGTTTGACATTGTAATATCAACAAAGAAAATCCAGAACATACAATCAATTCAATACCAATAATAAATAATATATATAGATGATACTAATCAATCAATTTTCAATAATATATAGGATTTAACAAATAATTGAACAAACTCAAATTATATATCGTAGTAATCAAATTTATTATAAATAACAATACAATTTATGCGCCTGGAGCAGGCCTATGTTCTACGGTATCAGCCAAATGATTTAAATCAGAGCTCATATTTCTCAAACTAGTATCAAACAATTTCATGTTCTTTTTGTAATTATTGCCTAAATTAACAAACGATTCCGCAAGTTCCATATACAATGTACGTAGTTCATTTATTTCTTTTTCCAATGACGCATTCTTACACAGTACTGCTCGCATATGTTTGTTTCTTTTCGGCATAATAACAATTTACAATAAAATTACAAACTAATAAACGAACTAATAAACTAAATGACAAATACTTAACAATAACTAATGTAACAAGAGTCCTGTCACGGTCGCCAAATGTGATGTTCGTATCACTTATAAATAAAAATAATTCGAACTCTCGTAATTTAGCTAATGAGTAAGAATTTGTTTCCGATGATTTTACTCTAATTTCAGGAAAGTAGATAAATGAAACAAATATGATAATCAAGTAAATCAAATATATATAAGTAATTGCAAAATATCGAGGAAAGTCAGACAATGCCCTAGTTTCTTATGGTGCGAGTCGTCCCATAAGCAGAGCTAAAGTCTTTCTTGGATAGGATATAATTCGGCCCAAGTTTCTTATAGCGCGAGATGTTCTATAAGTCGAGCTCAAATTATAAGGAAAGGTTAGTCTTGCTTAGTAAATCACAATGAGAGAAAGAACTTAGGTGTTGATCCAAGTTTATTCAAACTCATGCGCTCACTTTGCAAGGCTAGAAGTGAATGAATCTAGCCTGTGCAAAGGTGGGCCTATTTATACACAGATTTTCCCGCTTATTATTGCAGGAGAGATTTCATCGAAAATTCGAGAGACATTCGCGAATTTTGAGAAATGATTTTTCTTCATTTATAAGTAAATAACCATTAATATTAAGTTTTTAACACATGTAAATTTTACAGAACTAGTTATTTGTTGATTTTATACAATATATAATTATCGCCAATAGTGTCGTCAAAAGTTATTAACTAATAAAGTTAATTAACGTGATATTACATTATTTACAATAGAAAATTATTAAAATTTCATATAACTTTATAGTTAATTAATTTTGGAAGTATTTTCCAAAATTAATTATTTAAATTAATTAATAACATTTGAATTATGACTAATTTTTCATATTTGTAACGGTTTTCTTTTAATCTTAATATGCGATTATTAGGTTAATTATCTAAGATTTCTAAATCATAAAATTGTCATTATCAAGTATTAACTTAATATTTTCGTTCTATATATCGCTTATTGTTTAAATAAATTATTAGTTGTTTATTTATTAATAACAGTTGTTATTTAGCTGTTATTAATGAAACCAATTCTTACTCATGTTCTATGCTTATTCATTTTACATATAAATTATTTATATTTTTCTAATATTTCATATGTTAATAAATTAACTTTACATATCGATATTCGTTATAAATTTATGATTGAATAAGATATTGTGAATCTGTATGTTAAAATCTATATAATTGATACTTTGTTATATTCAAATTATCTATAATTAACATATTTTTCTCAATATTATGATTCATTATATCTATGTCTATTATTTGTGACGTCACGCTATTTGTTTTGACTCGACTCTTATTTGTATACAGTCGCGTAAACAGTGAGGTAGCGCCGCTTAATGTATTGTTTTGACTAACAGATAAATACGTTAGACTAGTTGCAGTCATTTAATAAACAGCTCATAAATAGGACCGTTACACCAAGAAAACTAAAGTTTTACGAAACCTAAAGAAACAAATAAAATGACTACAAAAAAAAAAGAAAACAACAGATGTAAGTGTACACACGTTAGATGAAATGTTAGGTCCTCTCGAAAGTAAATTAAATAAACCAGATAAACTACTTAACCCATTACAATTCAAAAGCTTTTTAGAAAACATACATGGTTCTTCCACTCCACATTTAATTGCACTAAACTATACCGAAAATATTAATAGTTTAATAGATCTAATGAATGAACTATATCCCTTGGCACAACATAAAAATCTCAAAAGTAGATTCATTAGAATTACAAAAAAACTAAAGCAAAACATATTGAACCAGGAAATTGAAAGCTCAACTACAGCAGCATCGTCCGCTGAAGATTCTTCATAATAATTAAAAATGGATAAAAAAATAATACAATGGAATATAAACGGATTATAGCATCAATTTGAATTTTTACAAAATCTTCTAGTAGATCAAAATCCAGACGTCATATGTGTACAGGAAACTATCTTTAAAAATAACTACTACACCAAATTAAAAAACTTTGAAATTTTTTATAATAAACTTTTTGTAAAATTGCTGTATAAAAACACTGTACATTACTGTATTGACCGCGATTATATCGTAACTCGAAATAATCTGTATACCATATTGTAAATCATGTCATAATAAGGTACTATAATTCTATTGTAAACTTCCAAAAGAAGTACATATTGTATACTTTTGTCATTATTTTTTCTATATATACTCTCATATGTAAAATTTTTATATCTAGTGGTCACTAATAACCAAACTGGTTGATGTAACCATCATAAGCAATAAATAAAAAAAAATTTTATACTCTTTTGACATGCGAGCTCCAGCAGAAAATAAATTTACTTTAGTGATGAAATGTATTGTCAATCATTGTCTTACCAGCATACAATTTGTTATCAATTAACCTTTTGATAAAAATTTTACCGTGACCTTCAACGTTGAAAGCTGTTTTGTCGCTAAGAAAAATTTGTTCATTGCTACCTTTCATAAGCTCCGCGAATTATTCAAAATAACAAAAAATATGCTAGCTGTGACGTAGCACTATCAAGAAGCTACGCATCACTTTCACCCAAATAAAAAATAACGTTTTCTAAATGATTAACTCTCAAAACACTAGCATTCAATTCTCATTATTACTGTTCTCTCAAATAAAGGACCACCTTTCAAAAATCAGAATCAATAAAATTTTCATCAACAAAAAAAAAATTAATAACACTTAATAACATTAAAAAACAGAATTAAACTTTTATATAATGAAAAGTTTTTTTTTCGATCCAATTACTTCGTTGACACAAACGACTGCGCATAACCGGTACGATAAAAATAAAAATTCCACAGCAACATTAAATATTTGTTTTATCAATTTCAGACAAATGAATTAAGTTTATCATGTTCATATTTAACAAACTTTTAATCGTTTTCGAACTACAAAACAAAACTTTCTTTTGTTCGAACGTCCCACAAGCACGGGCTAATCATTTCTAACGCGCTTTGAGCTATGAATTAAGATAGTTATCCTTTAAATGCATTTCGTTCAAAACTTTGAGAAAAATCAATTGAAGTAGTAGTGAATACGTGTTTCAATTCTGGAATTTATTATCGTTTTAATTCGGAGTTTTAATCAAAGTTTGCTTCTTTGGTTGCTCTTATACATAGGGGTAGTAGGCAACGCTTTGGAAAATGGCTCATATTTTACGAATCGCATTGAAGAGACCCTTGCAAATTAATGAAAAGACAGTTGATATACTAAAAAATAATATACTTTTGTTGAAAAAGTGTTAACCGTACGGTAAAAAAACTTATTTCTTACATTTCTTTCTGTAGTTCATCCAATTTATCTAAAACTAATTGTCGTTCTTCCTTTGCAGTTGTATCGCAGCTGTCCTTCACGCATTCTTTTATTATAGCTCCTATCTCTTGCTGATATTTTCTAAAGAACTCGTTGCTCATAATAGGCAGATTCAAACAAGCCAAATTTTAATTAACTGTGTACAGCCTATTCCAGCATGATAGTCACCTAAATAAATGCAAAAAATAAAATGTATTAGCAATGAAATATATGATTTCTTTTTCATGAATTATTTGTCACTACCACTTACTAAGTACTGCTTTGAATGTGTTGTTATTATGTTTTCCGTCGCTCATATATTGCTCAGCATTTTCGTTTACTTTGTGATAATTGCCAGTTTCAACGTGGAAATTTTTTAAATAGCTTTTATACTGCAGTATCAATGTTGTATGTAGCCTTTTCTTTATTTCACATTATATTTACATTTTCAAGGAATAATGATTTGTCACAAACATTGCACTGAATTGGCTTAGCACACGGAAATCAACGATTCGATTTCCTTCAACTAGTATATTCCTCTTTTCATCAATGATGGAATTCCCAACTGTTTCACTATGTTTTTTCAAGCCAATACGAGATTTCTCTTTTACCTCAAAAACTTTGTACTTTATAAATTTACCTTTATACCTCAATTGAAACATGTTTACATCAGATTGTGAGGTTAGCCTACTCGCTAAACCGAACGGTTAAGCCGACTAGTAAATACAAGCACCGTGTAGCGATGTCAAATCTTTATCCTGCTAAAACAAGGACATTCAACTGGACTGAAAATCCAATCCGCTTTGAGTCTATTCCTGAATCCTATATAAATGATAATTTAAGTTCATAAAAGTCGAAATACATCTGAATCCCTTTTAAGATTTTACTATCCTGAAATTAATTATTATAATGTGTAAAATTAATATCACGATAAAACACATAAAAATAGATTGAGCTTCATTCTACTTTAATGAATTTCAATTGTCATTGGCAGGATTCAGAAATAGATTCAAAGCGGATTAGATTTTCAAACCGGTTGAGTGTCCTTGTTTTAGATAGTAATTACGACAGTCAAATGCGAGTCGAGCGCGATGACGAGCGTATAGTATGAGAATAACTACTTTAAAATGTGGTTCTAATATTTGAAAAACGTCTGTGATTCCGAAAGACGTTTTCTTTTATGAACTCGGCCGAACAAACAATAATCCTGCTGAATTATACATTTCGACAAATTTTCAAAATAGAAAAAAGCCAAAAATGTTGTAGTATATTTCCGTAAATTTTTGAAGCTCGGAATCGGAATCTGATTTCAGAATTAACTCACCACCTAAGGTTATCGAGATATCTTAACATAAAAGGACGACAATCATAATATTTTATATTTAACCTTTGGACCCCAACTGCCTTAATCCCCGACCCCTGCAACCTGTGATTTTAATGTTATTGCGAAACTGCTAAAATACTTATCATCAATCAATAATATCTCAATGAAAAAAATGAATCTAATCTGAAAAATAGGCTTTAATTGGCAAGGATGCTGCTTTGTCATGACTCTACTTGTTTGTGGAAAAACAAATTTATTCACGGTGTTACATCACATCGAACATAGCAAATAATCGTGATTTTTGCACTTTCAGGTTAGGATACCTCGAAAACTTTGGATGATGAAAGAATTCTGAAGCCAGATTCGGATTCAACGCATCTCTCTGTTGAAGTTTTGAAATGTTAATTTGTTTTATTATACTGAACAGATATGTTATTTAATCCGAGTTAAAGTTTTCTTAATTATACTACTATTTCGAGTACTTATTTCAATTGGTTATGGGCTCAAACGCTAAGCTGTGTATTAAAAATGTATTCAAAAAGTAAGAGATAAAAGTAATAGTGTTTTGATTATGAAGTCTCGTTGAATAGCAATGGATTCAACGAAGCATATCAAACCTTTGACCGGGGTGTCAGACTGGCCTATTTGGAAGCGCAAGATACGCGACCTGCTAGATTACCACGAAGGAGTCGAGTTTACGTCATCGACAACAAAATACAAAAACTTGAAACTCTCGGTGACGGTGCAAATGAAAAAGATAAAAAAGAACACAAAGAAAAAGCTGATTTGTATTGCAAGGCAAATAGTATTGCAAAATTTATTATTTCAAGCTCAGTTACAGACGCAGTTTATGAGAAAATCATGGATAAACAAACGGCGCACAAAGCATGGGAGGCACTCAAGCAACAGTTCGAAGTGACTTCAAAAGATCAACTATTTCATCTATGCGATGCATTTTTCGCTTTTAGTTGGACCTCAGGCGAGGACGTTTCTACACGCTCGGCTAAAAAGTCTTTGAAGTGAACTCAAGAATGGTTTTGTAGCTTGAAAGGATAATAAGCTGCCCGATTTAATATTAGTATGTAAGACATAAAATATTTTACCTGCTGAATTTGAAACATTCAGGTCTTGTTGGATGCTCTTAACCAAAGACACTGAGAAAACGTTCGACGAGTTGACTACATAGTTATATATATTCGAGAGAAATTACAAGAAAAATGCGAACAACGATAAATTTTCGCAAGAAGCTTTAGTTGCAAAGGAAGAAATTCAAAGACAGAATACCAAAAAGAAGTCGAGAACAGGTACGGTTTGCAACTATTGCGGTAAGAAAAATTACTGGGCCAGCGAGTGCAGAAAATGGATCAGCGATGAACTCCTACCTAATATAGTATGTTCCACCTAACCTAGTGTGTTTTATTATCGCTTTTGTTTAAATATTATAATTTAACTTCAGCTTTATATGACTATGTTTATTATTATTAAAATTTATTAAAACTTCTTGAAATTCCTGTAATCGAGTATTTTTTATTGAATTTATTTACAACAGTTGTTGTGATTTTTGTGGGATAGTTTTTCGTGGTATTGTTTAATTAATTAAAATCGTAATGTTTTGAATTCAAAATTATTAATTGAAAATTTCTCTGACTTACTGGTACAAAATTTACTCTCTCCTCTATTCTTAGTATTCCTTGACCATTAATATATAGAGACAAAGCAATAACCTGTTTGCTCAATTGGCTACATTTTGAACGCTTGTTCTCAAAATGTAGCCAATCTAAAGGCTCACCAGAAAATATTGGCAATTTTTGATTTGTTATTCTATTCGCTTGACTTTGAGACTAACATACTATTTTTTCGTATCGCGAAAGATTTTTTCAAAACATCTGCTAAACGTGAAATCAGATCTACATAATAATTTTGCTTGCGAGTGGTGCTGCGCGTCGATGTAGAAGTGTATCATTCGCGTCGTGAGATAGACGGTACCAATTGATGCCCTTTGCGAGTAGTAACAGCGCCTCGTCGGGTTTAAGGAACAGACGATGCCCACTCACAGATTGCCAAGCGCTAAAATATCAGGAATCTCCAACAGCTCAGCGATAGGTTCATCATCGTCAAACAGCGTCCGACCTTCGATCGCGTTGAGTTTCAGCGACCTCACAGCGCCTGGTTACATCCTCTTGAGCTTCATCAAGAATCGCGTTCTCATTTGCTATTTGTAGCTCTCGTCACCGGATTAAGCTGCATTCGCGCGTACTGGCCGCCCACCATCGAAATAACAACTCCTCGGCCGCGTTGTCTAATAGTCATTGAAAGCTCCAGGCTTGTTGCTGGCCCGTAGTCCAGGTTCTCCTCTGTCTTTGGCTCTCGTATAGCTTCGGTAATTAAAGCATCATCCATCGGGACATTGCTCCGTGATTGTTTGAGGCGCAAAGAATCGCTCGACAATTTCAAAATCAAAGAACACGCCCAAGCAGTCAGATTCCGTTTGCTCACAACACATTTTGACTTTCTTTTCTTCTCAGCTTAAGTTTGTCCCATGACAGCTGTTCGTACCTTCAAACCACTTCGATACCTGAACGTTAGTAACGCCTGCCGAACGCACCAGAAAAAGAATCCCAAAAGAAATTTATAACTGGCTGATCGAGTGACTCTCGCGAGAAAATCAGCCCTGACAAGCTACATGCGCACAGATGTCTGCCAGCTTTCGCTGGCTTCCTTGAAAAAACTGTAAAAATATTTTTGTTTTAAACGGAAAAAGAAACAATGCGATACTGCAAAATAAATGCCAGAATGAGAAAAAGCGACTGAAATATTATAGAGTATAAGAGAAATATGTAAACAAATTTGTTGTAATCTTACTTCATTTTTCATGCAAAGCCACAGCTATGTTATATGTACTGTATGTAATTCTTAATTTATGTTAAGTTCAAGTTCGGCGATCAACATACTGTCATCTGCGATGGTAAGAACTTTTTTTCGAGTAAAGATAAAAAATTCAATAGGTGATCCAAATATAGGCAACGGAAATACTGACACGAGTCGAGAGTCGAGTTTATGGAGTATGACAGAAAAGATGTAGAGTCCCTTGGCTGTCATTTACTAAGTTCGTACTTTTTATTGAGACATCGAGCTACCTCGACATTGCATCAATCTTACGTGAATTAAATAAAATGAAAAACACGAACCAGTGAGTCCCGCTGTTCAAAGCTCACGATCACGTGACCATTGTCAGATATGATGGAAAAATTGCTGAAACCATGCAAATCAGAATACATTCCTCCGATCTCGTTTTCCAGTGTCGTTATTGAGTTCGAAGGTTCGAAAACAGGGAGCTTTAGAGGCACTCCCGCAACGATATTGTGCCGGGAGTAGGACCGCAGGCCAAATCACTATTGGTGCCACAGTCAAAACATATGCTGACGTCCCACTTCTGAGAGGGAAATGAAAAAGAAACACCGGAGAGAGAAAATTTTGAGAGATCGACTCGCTCATATTGATCGGGTAGAACGTTTTTGACCTTCGCCTACACAAGCGCACACCAGCTTTTAGACTCTCGCGAGCTTTATAACTGTTACGGTTGTCTGCAACAAATTATAATTCTTTGTAACTTCGAGCAGTTTAAGACTAAATTGGTACTTTACTTAAAACTTGATAATTTAATTTTATTTCCTTTGTATGTTTTAATATTTTAATAAAAAAACGGAGTCGTATTTTATGTGCATATTATCGTGGTTATTTTATGTTCACTCCTCCTCAACCCGAATACTTTGCGACGAAACAGAAGCTGTTTGGAATGTGTTTCGTTGCACAAAAGAGCTCCTTCGATTGTTGTCTCGAGACGAGAAAAAGACGACACGATTGCTGCCTTATGTCGGGATGGGAATCCTGGACCTGTGGGGCAAAACCGAGATATCCCGTCCAACACCTCGAATTGTAGCAGAAGCACACTAAGCTTCGGTGCGAAAAAGAGCTGGTACACCTTGAAAGCCGCCTTGTGCTGCTATAAACTTGGTGCAGTTCGTCTTTAATCAAAAGGTCCAGATGTTATGAATTTAGATCGATCAGCTTTTTCTAATCAGTATGAAGATTATTAAGATATTTTAGCAAATTTGTTCACTTTAATCTTTGTAACTTCCAACATGCGAGCGAGTTGAACTGATGAAACAGTTATTTCGTTACGCGAAGCACCATTTTTTACAACCGCTGCACGAAAGAACGTTCTTAAGTTTGATTGCAAGCAGGATATCCGGCAACCTTTGCTATATAAAGAGAGAAAGTCTGATGAAAGCAACGAGCAAGATGTTAGCGGCAATTAAGGATTCCATATTGAATCAATATGGTTGCGCGTTGAAACGATGAAACTAATATTGCGTTCAGTTCAATTTATCGTTTCTTGATAGCACTACTAAGTCAATAATTAGCTTTTTACCAAAACTTTTTTACGGAGACGCGTTCTATGGTACACTGAACTTATGTAGCAATGCTTTATCCTTAATTAGAAGTGAAAAAGTACGTGAGTACCCTAATGTAATTAGACTTATGAAAGGTGTCTTATATCATAAGACCTTTGCGTCCAAAATACACAATTACGTGAGACGACGCTACGGTACTTAATGTTTTAAAAGATTCAGATACTATTTTAATTTAAAAAACCTTACTTATAAAATAGTTATGCCTTTAGTACAGCTCAAAGAGCTCAAACCTTATCTAAATTGAATATTAATAATATTAAAAAAGACGACGAACATTTGTTAATTACAGACCCAGGTACAATGAAAACATTTGATCCAGGGAAGTATCAACCGTGTTTAAAACTTGCAGAATTCTTTGAAGATAAACTATTATGCGTTTATTTATTATTAGATATCTATTATCTATTATAATATCTATTACTTGTCGACACTTCGTAAACATGTATAAAAATCTTAGAGGTAATTGTACTCAACTTTTTATATCAACGAGAACACCCTGTGGGAGCATCTACTGTATTAGCATATGGGAAATAATAATGAAAACAGGATTGATGTATCAATATTCTCTGCTCACTCAACAATATATGCTGCAACATCAGCTGCATCTGATAAAGTTGTTTATTTTGATACGATAAGATATCGATCAGTTGGTCAGAACGTTCACAAATGTTCGCAAAAGGTTCTAATAGATCTGTTGTTTCGAGTGGATGTGAATTCGTAAAAGCTATAATTAGTTAAATGTAATACATATTTTTATATTAAATAATTTTTCGAATCACTGTAATTACTCTAAGCAACTACACTATATAGAATGTATGAGGTCGAGAACGTAATATAATTAATCAGACGAACTTACTTGTATGTGAAGTTCTTTTGAAATTATACTCGTATGTAGTCCTCGTTCTCACACATTATCTGTGTGCTGTCATGGTGGACAAAGAAGGATGCTACACTATGTAAAATGTATGAAAGCGAAGACTACATTTTATTTAAATTGAACTTCACATACAGGTAAGCTCGTTTGATTATTAATAACAGCGGTATCAACAGCCACGAAAGCGTGACTTTCTCTCTCTTTCTTGGTGTCATTTGTCCTGGATTCTGCATGCCGACCGTGAGCATTAGTGCCACGGTTGTACTATTGCAGTACTCGAGGTCACTGCGGGAATGGTGAGCTGTTCCATGGTAGTGCATTTGTGACAGTCGGTGACATTTATAAGACGTTGCGTCGTCTCGTGGCACGACGGCCGTTGATCTAATAGACAATGTGTAATAAATGCGATTTGTCTGTCCGTGTTGTGAGTGTTTGAATCTATCCTCTGAGCTTCTCATCTCAAAATTCTCTTGCACACGTGCGTGCCCGTACGCGAAAGCATACCCGACAGGCTGTTGTGTAGCTGAAGCATTCGTGCCTTCCTTCTTTGCAAAACATAATTTGTAAATAAACTCTTAAGCTAAATGTATTACGAAGGAAATTCAAAGTAACGACTTTCCCTTCACAAACATTTTTTTTGTTTGCAGAAATCTCGTGAAAACGTTATGGTCAAAAAGTCAATAGGAAATATAATCCTCCATAATATTTAATAATTTTTTGAAATTTCATTAGAAATAAACAGATATCAAATAATTTTTTATTCAAATTCCAATTTCTCAGATCAAAATACCTCAAAAAGTACACTTTATTTTTTTCTTAATGCAAATGTTAATTTACCGCATCAGTCCTGCGCCTGAGAGTTTTATAGTCTGCTTTAATTTTTAAAACTCCTTACCGGGTTAATAATTCAAGTTATATATAACTAAATACATAGTTTTGATATATTATTTTAACATAAAATTCGACTTTTACATGGATTAGTATTATCTCTCGTCATTTCTAGCTTCCATTTGGTTCATAAAATAATTAAATTTTATAACTGAGAGAGTGCATTCAATTTAAAAATATTCCTACCGCGCCGTAGTATGAAACTTTCTGGTCGAATTTTTCACATAAGTACGATGAATGCTATTAAAATGTTAATTTGTAGACGGAATGTATGACTTTCCCTCGTTCAGCGATTTATTAATTAGTAAAGCTTTTTTTATTTTATTAGTAATTGTTAAACAAATATTTAAATAAAAAATAATACATTTAATAAGACAATCACATAATTGAAAAAATAGATTTATTGATAACAGACGAAAAATTATATTATAAAAGAATTTTGACAAGCACAAAAATTTTTTTCTTTCTCTTATTGAATCATTCATATTTTGTACAAACTATTATACGGATTCTTGAGCTTTGCGGTATTCGAAAACACTACCACGTTCAACAAAAGTATTCATTGTCTTTTTGGCCATTACCGGCCTTTCTCTTGGTTCACCGTATCCGCCGCCTCCTGGAGTCTCTAGCAAGAATGAGTCCTGTAATAAATAGTAGTATGCTATTCTTATAAACATAAAAATATATTATTGTAATCTGATTTCGAGATTGAATTTAATTTTTGTTTTAGAGAATGGTCAAGACAAATAAAATAAAAATTGAACGGAGTGTGCTTGTTATTGATAAAGATTGAAAATAAATTCGATATAAACAATTGTAAGCTTCTAATCGCATGGAATATTTTTGAAATAGTGAGAGATGACATACTAAGTAACAAAATTGCACATTGAATGCTAAAAATGCATTACAAATCTATCATAGCAAATTTAGTAAATGAAATGCTAATTGCAAGTGACTAGATTGTTTAGTCAGAGTCATAGATGTACATGTTTTCGAGCTATCTAGCGCAAAAAATGTATTATGAAGCTTAATAGACTTTGCATTGATAAGTGAACAATTTGTAGTAATTACCCCAGCGTTGACTGCAACGGCAGTTTTCGGACCTAAATTGATCATTCTACCATCCACGCGTTTTAATGTGTTTCGTCCACGAGCTCCCGGATCGCCACCATCAAGTCCCGGAGGACAGTGGACCCTTCTTTCTGTCAATACAGATAGCGTCATAGGAGCCCTGTAGAAGTTTTTATCATCAAAAAAATTATTTTCATGTATCTTCTATCTTTCTAATAGGTCTGAGTTTTTAAGACCATTTTTCTATCAACATAAACTGCTGCAAAGGTGAAAGTTATTCCTATGGCACTGGTGATGGTGTGTGTTTAAATGAAAAATTTAGCATTAGAAGCACACCTTGACTTATACTGTGTTCGTGCAAGAACGCATACTCTGGATCTACATTATGTATATTGTATCGTGAAATATCAAAGCGATACTAAGAAGCAAGGAAGATAAAATAATTTCAACCTCGAGTGGTACTTTCATAACATCAGAGTGAAGTTATTTCATTGCACTAGGTTAGGTATTATACGCGATGCAATTTACAATGATCCACAAGTATTACCTGAATAACATTTCACGTATAACTCCATCGCCACCTCGACGAGCGCCATCACCACCACTTCCTTGTCGCAGTGAAAATTTTTGGAGAATTACTGGATATCGCAGTTCTAAAATTTCGGGATCAGTAATTCTGGTATTGGTCATATGTGTATGAACACCACCTCTGCCATCCCACGTAGGTCCCTAAATTCAATCGAAACTTTAATACTAATTCTCGATAAGTCATCCAATTACATTGTAATTTACTTTGTACTTTAGTGGTTTATTCTTTTGAAAGCCGTAAATCTTTATATACAAATTTCTACATATTAATTCATGATCAAAAGATGACTCATGAATCAGCATTTCATTAAAGCTTTAGCTATTTGCATTGCGAGAATTTATTGTCAAATCACATTGACTTTTATACCAAAATGCCTTAAAGTGAAAAATAATCTAGAGTAAAAAATAAAAAAAAAACAAAATATCTTATTTGTCATAGTTCGAAAAGTATTTTACTTTGAAACTAAAGCGTTAACCAGAAGAATTCATTATCTATAATTTTTATGTAGTGCGAGAAAAATATTTATTTCTTGCACATCTGTGATCGATTTTAAAGATAAATCGAAAATTACATAAAAATTTACATCACTCATTACGTTATCAGAAGTCCTATACTTTCATCATCATTTTCAAGTGATTGCGCCAACGTCAAAAAAACAAATATTTTTTCAAGTGTTGAATAATTTGTACTTTGATTTTTATATTGTTCTGAACACGAATTTTCCTCGTTCGCTTGTTCCGTAATAAAATTCTGTTTAATAATAATTACTGAAAAAGACCGTGTAACGATTATTGAAGAGGATTATCCGTGGACACTTTCCTTTGCCCTTGTACACAAACATGCGTATGCTAACTGACGAGGCACGAGGTAAATGAAAAAAGTGTATACCGGCTGGTGATAAGCTATTATTCTTTTCGAGATTGTGAAAAAACCAACGTTGCCAAGTTATAAATAAAGGAACAAGCTGGAGAAAAATGGTACAAAGTTCGATAAGAAAAACAATTCTACGAGAGCATCCAAGAAAGATAGACGTAGAACTCATTTACGTTATTATTTTAGAATAAAATGTAAGAGGAATATATTTTGATGCATCACTCTACCAACACAAATAATAAATACAAAGACTTACTGCGCCGCTACCACCAGCGACCGTTTCGTAGTATCCCCATTCCTCCGTCCCGAGGGTAATGTTGTTCATGCAGCCTTGGGATGCGGCGCACGCACCGAACGCACAAAGAATCACGTCGACAACGCGTTGCGAAGTTAGAACGTTGCCGCCTACGACCGCAGCCCCGTCCGATGGATCAAGCAATGATCCCTTTGGTATTATCACTTTTACCGGCTTTAAACAACCCTATTCGATTGTTTTTAAAGTAGATTAGTTTTATGATTATTTTTTCATTGAGTTACATGCTTCACAAGCATCGCTTGGAATTAATGTTTTCCATTATATATACAACTTTTATATATACAACTCATACAATTATAAAATAAATATTAATATAAATAATTCACAGTATTATTTCGAATATCTGCTAACATATTTCCTTCAATAGCCATTGTCGCTTAACGACAACATTTATATTTTAATAATCGAATTATTATTTTTTTTTTTATTAATAATTTGGTGAAATTATTAATGTACTGTTTGATAAATGTCGACATTATGCAAAAAATACGAACAGACATCATAAAAGCTCTTATTAATTTAAAAATTACATCTGATCGAACGATTGTAAACACAAAATAATAAAAAGTCGTGTTGCATATGTCTCTGTAATAGGTTTATATATGCATAAAAGTGATAAAGTGAGTCACCTGATTGAGAGGTACATCGTGTCCAACGATGCTTCTCAGGCAATAAATCAAAGCTGATAAAGTGATAGCACGTGGCGCGTTGCAGTTGCCCCAAACTTCATATCCAGTACCACTGTTATAAAAAAAATCAATATCAATAAAAATTGTACCTTAGAACATTTCCGCAATATGATTAATCATTGAGATATATTTATCTACTTGAAAGAACTTAAAATTCATAAACTAAAATTAACGAAGTAATACTTACGTAAAATCACAGATTGCTTCTCCTTTTCGAATGTCAATTGACAATTCAAGTTTGATTTCACTACCATCGTCTAAATAATCTGAAGCGGTAATGGAATGATGTTGAGTTTTCTCTATTATTTTTTCGCCAACGGATTTTAGCATATCACGTACTGCTAATTCTGCATTATCTTGAATATGTTTCATATAAGCTTGAACGACGTCCAATCCATAAACATCAATTAACTCGTTAACCAAGTGAGCTCCCTAAATATAAAAGAAATAAGAACAATTAAAATAAATTCTTATTCCAATGGACACTTTTCTTCACTATACAGAGAGAAAGTTTACTTTGTGATTAGCTGCTATTTGCGCTTTGAGATCGCTCAAGTTATCAGCAAGATTTCTTGTTCCAGAACTACCTGGAATTTTCCCGGGTGTCATCAATTCATCGGTGACTTCTTTTTCGCGAAATAATCCTTTGTGAACCAATATGAAGCTCTTAAATGTAGCCCCTTCCTGAAAAAAAATCATCCACATGTTTCATTCTGAATTTTTATAACATTTGTGACATCATCAATTTCCCATTCGTAATTTACTTGCAACAACATCGTAGAATGTGGAGGCATCGAACCGGGAGTTATACCTCCAATGTCCGCATGGTGACCTCTGCTCGCAACAAAGAATACTGGATCCGGCACATCTCTGTTAATGTTGCAAAATAACGAGATTGTATGCGATCGATTATTTTATTTTTGTCATACCTATAAAATACCGGCGTTATGACTGTGAGATCTGGAAGATGGGAACCACCTGCAGATGGATGATTCGATAGTATCGAGTCTCCTCTTTCGAATTTGCCATTGAATGTTTTTATCTGATATTGCACGGTTTCTTGCATTGCGCCGAGATGAACTGGAATGTGCGGTGCATTCGAGACTAAACCGCCGTCGGGTCCAAAGACAGCGCATGAAAAATCTAGTCGCTCCTTAATGTTTGTCGAGATAGATGTTCTCTGCAAAATTCTTTTCAGAGGCATTTTTTATTTATGTAATAATTTTATTGTATAAAACTCACGTAAACAAAACAATTACATTTCAATGACTATTTAAAAACTGCGCATTGTTTATAAGACAATAAACAAAATGTGCACAAACCTGCCCATTTGTTCGGCAATACTCATGAATCTATGAGAAAATATACTAAGCTGAATAGTATCGAGATCCGTTGTAACTTTCGATTGCAAGCCAGCTCCAATTTTGATCTTGATATCGCCACGCGTTGTGATTGATGCAGTGCATTGTGGTTCTATCAAAATAGTACTCAAACTATCCATTATAATGGCTGGACCATTAATAGTATGACCAGGCGATAAAGATTTTAATTGATATACTTCCGTATATTGATAACCACCTTCGAAGTAAACTTTTGTTTTCTAAATAAAAAAATGTCAATCGATTGTAAAAGCAAATAATCATAAAAATTGGTGTAATTTGTCAGAAAGCATAAATGGACCTTTTCTGCTTGAGGTGGCTTGTTAGATTTTGGCATTAAGTGCTCTTCGTGAACTTCAGTTCTACCAATACCTCGAACTCTAATATCACTAACTAAAACTTTTCGGTTAGGCATTGTGAAGCCAAATTCTTGTTGATACCTTAAAAAAATAAATATTTCTAACACAGAAATCACAATATTTTTACCAAAACTAAGCATTAACTATTCAATCACCGATTTAAAAACGAAGCTGCAAAATCGCCATGTCTAGTACATATTGATTGGGATTTCTTAGGAATAGGAGTGCACATCAATGCACAATCAGTTCCCTCGTATCGTAAATGCAAATAGCATTCAGTTTCAACTATATCCTTTGAAAATCCTTGTGCTAAGAGCTTTTGTGTAACAGCGCTCTGCAATTTGTCGAATCGATCGTCCAGACGACCAAACGAATCTAGAAATTGTATTCGTGTATTGAAATTCAGTAAAAACAAACGCCAAGTTTTTGCATTATCAAAACAGTCATGTAAATCAACGAAATAATACGCGCGAAAGTCTTAGGAAAAATTCCATTGTGTGTATTTACTAGAATCTGATAATTGATATCACCTTCATTATAAATTTCAGCACTAGGCTCTTGAGCTTCCTCTACAACATCAGCCAGAGCCATACCATAAGCTGATAAAATACCGGCGTATTTGTGTACAAAAACGGTGCTCATGCCGAGGTTTCGAGCGATCGCACAAGCGTGTTGTCCTCCGGCGCCTCCGAAACATGCCAAAACATGACGTGATGTATCGTATCCTTTCGCCTATTTGTTTTCCCAGAGATATCACATACAATGTACCGTTTATGTATAAAACATTGCATTTATATTATACAAATAAAATTAGTGATTGACTAAAGATACATTTGAATCGTACCTGAGTTAGTGCTCGTATTGGCCGGCACATAGCTTCGTTTGCGATTTTAATAAATCCCATTGCTGCCTCTTCAATAGATAACTTTTCGTTCTCTGATTTGCCTTCGGCGATTAAAAAATCGTTGATCTGAATACAAAAACAGCAAATAATCCATTAAAAATAAAAAATCGAAGAGGCTCTGAAAAGTTGAGAATATTACTTTTTCGGTTAATTTGCCAAAGCCCTCAAGAGTACATAATTTGTCTAAAGGCTCGTTTTCGTTAGATCCAAAAATTTTAGGAAAGTACTCTGGTAGTAATCTGCCGAGAACCAAGTTAGCGTCCGTCACAGCTAGTGGACCTCCCTTCTTGTAACACGCTGGACCTGGGTGAGCGCCAGCACTTTGCGGGCCTACTTCAAATATACCCGATCTGAAGAATAACATCGATCCACCGCCTGCTGCTACTGTATTCACATCAAGCTGTGCAAATTAAATTTTAGCTAACTTTTTTCAAATGCATTCAATCATTATATCATTAGTATTTACTAGTTTAGATGAAACCTATTTAGGTAGGAATATTTGTTTGGATTTTCGTAATTAGACTTCTGTCAGGCTGATAAATTCGATAATATATATGTGTATAGTATGGAAAATACTTTTATATATATATATATATATATATATATATATATATATATATATAATGGCAATACGTCAATACAAGTATGTATTTCTGTTTTTATTTGTTCATAGACAGCTCAAATAAAGAATGAAAAATAATGTATATAATAAGGTATAATGTAATATAACTTTTTTTAAATGCATCGTTAATAATACATTAATTAATGAGAATATCACTGATAGTCAGTCTTAGCTATAAATATCTAGCAAATTATTAATAATATTTGATTTTTATTCAAATGGATCATCCATACTTTCATAGTTAGCGAACAATATGTTTCACTGTTGCTTGATTCTATTTCTATTTCTCTATTGCTTCTATTTCGAGTAAAATCAAATTTAAATATATGCTCAACATGACAAGTACTTCTATTAAGAATTAAAAAAAACGACGTATGCCAAATCATTACATATATAATTATAATTATAATAAATGAATTAATATTACAAATAATGTTTGTTATTTGTTAATGAGTGTCAAAAATACAACAAAAAGTATACAATATTTTTAATTATTGGATTCTATTTGAACTTTAATTATTATTGAAACATTTGTGGAACGGCTAAACATATATTGTCGAAATCTAACTTTTATCAAAATATCACCTGAGCAGCTTGAATCGTAACTCCAGCAGTCGTACTTTCATAGACATGTTCGTAGCTCCCACCGTAACGACTGACATCAGTCGAAGTACCACCCATATCGAAACCAATTACCGGAAGGTCTGTTTCTTTTTGATAAGTTGTCATAGCATAGCCAACAACTCCGCCAGCTGGTCCGGATAATACGGCTCTCGAACCGTTGAAACTGGCATGCGATCAATTAAAATCAACGTAAATAATTATAAAAAACTTTGTTTTCATAAAATAAAATCAATGAATATTTAAAAATTTCAGTTATATAAATTAAAATAGACTTCGATCATTAACTCACGAATTCATGGGTGTAAGGCCACCATCACTTTGCATAAACAAGACATTGACTCCTTCAAGATTATTTTTGAAGCCCTTCGAAAAGCCCTACATCAAACACATTTACATGTAAATGCCGTTATATTTTATCTAAACTTAAGTAGTCGTTACAAAGTACGTTACTTGTAAATAAGTCTTAATGTGAGGAGTTAAATAAGCATCTGCCGCAGCTGTGAAACCGCGAGGAACAATACGGGTCATTGGCATTACTTCGTGTGAAAGAGAAATTTGATCGAATCCCATTTCTGCTGCTAATTTTCCAACTTGAATCTCATGTTCAGCATACCTATATATTGGGTTATAAGAACGTAACGTGATAAATTTTTATAAAGCGTTTGAGCTAATATAAAATTTTTAGATGCACTTTGATCTCTTTATTGCTGACAACGTTTACTATTATTGCTTCGTGATTTTTTATAAATAAGAGTAGCGAAGCGTTCCAACTAATGTACAATTTTTGGATACACTTTGACCCTTTTATTGCCTACAAATTTTATTATTATTATTTAATAGTTTTTTTATAAATAAGTTGCAATCGATAATCGAAATGAAAATCTGAATGAAGATTTTTGAGCATATCGTTTATTTAGGATTTTTAGTTTCGTATTGTATTCATTTCACCTTACAGTCCAGCGTTAATGAAAGAGCTAAGCAAAATTTATAGTTATATTTATACGTGGAGCGTATTTTTTCTTAAGACCTTAACTTAAATTTTCTCGTATTTTTAACACCTTAATTTAAATATCGAAGCTGTTTAGCTGGACGAGATGACTTTCAATTGTTTATTAATAATTTAAATGTTCATAATGCTATATCTTTATTGTGAATAAAGTTGTATTGATTTTGATAACAAATGATGCGGAATTTCATAACGAATCTATGGGATTTTGAAAATTGAACAAATATCTTTAGTCAACAAAACCCGATGCTAGCACGTGACCAATTATTTATCGTTACAACTTTTTTTCGAACAAAGGTACAGAAACCGTTAATAAACCAAATTACTTGCTACTTTTCGTGGATTCTATTAGTTTTATTAGTGCAAAAATATTTCTTGAAATTGAAATTATTATCGCTTAACTATCACAATAACCGCTCTGATGGCGTATTTAGTTGTTTAATGCGCTAGCATCTATTTTGTATCGAAACAAACAGCATATTTTTTTAACCACATGAATCCCGTTTTCAAAAGGAATTTAATGATTTTTGGCAGATGCAAATACTGTTCATTAGAACCGAAGATACAGCAAAATTAGTACAAGAGCGAAAGATAGTTAAATCAAACTGTACTGATGATTGTGCGGGCGGCTTGCGCTCACGCGCGCAACGGTGTACCGATCCGGATTAATTTCGTTCACTTATCATATCTTCGGTTCGACACGACTTTTTACGAATTTCAAAAATCGACATGCTCTGTGAGAAACTAAGGATTGTATTATATTTTACGGACGAGTGCAATGCTACTAGATAAAAAGGCAAAAACGCATAAAGAAATGCACTAAAAACACACTGGACGTTCAGATTCAGAAAATCACAATACACGTAGAAAATTTAGTTGCTTAGGGGGATCTCGGTCAGCCACAAAAACCTCCCTGATTTCTTGAATAACTTGAACGAATGTTGTTTCTCGGGCTAATTGAAAAACCGACAATGTGATGTTATTATTAATGCCATTATTACTTATGTAGAAATTCTCATACAATGTACGATTTCCAAATGATTTTCTCCAAGTGCCTTATGAATAAATTAAGCTCTCTACCAAGTAAATAAAGTCGTTCGTGCACTTCTCTCTTTTTTAAGAAAAAAGAAAAAATAGCCGTCTAAGTAGTATGGCTTGTCATTATTTGTAAAAATTTGTTGATGAGTACTTTTCGAGATGAAAAGAACTACCTTAATCCAGTTACATTAATCATTTCAGGTTATATCACGCTTGTTCTATCTACAATAAGATTCAATAATTTGAACAGATTTTATTTATGACTAGAAAAATTAACACTGTCGACTAAACGTATTCAATTTAAAACTATATGCAAAATATATAATCAACTTCTATGTACGTCTGTTTACTATACAATTGTAGAGGAAAATGGAAATGATACATGACTTACGTGTAACTATGCATTAAAACCACTGCTAGACTCTGTATTCCATTTTCTTTAAGCTTGCGTAAATCTCGCTTGAGTTTAGCTTCATCCAACTCCTTAGTAATAAAAAGATCTTCTCCAGTAGAACCTTTGACTTTAGTCCATGTATTTTTCGGTAAATTACATTTTCCTGGCAAAGCTGGTACAACTCTGGCTTTTACTTCTACTACTTCGGAGTATAAAACTTCTGGCGTTATAACCTCCTACAAAATTTGGTTTGTAATTATTAATGAAATAAAAAAGTAAAAATGATTAAGCTGTTTAACGTCAAATGAAACATATCCATATCTACAAATAAAAGCTTTTTCTTACGAGATCAAAGATGTTAGGCCGAGCTTGGTTTCCTATGTACAATAAATCTTTAAATCCTTCATTTATTAATAAAGCCATTCTAGCTCCTTTCCTCTCGAGTAATGCATTTGTGGCTACAGTTGTGCCCATTCGAATCCATGCTATTTTTGACGTATCAATTTCACCGGTGATTGCTGATCCTGTTTCCTAAGTTTAAGATTGTTTATTCAATTGCATAATTTATTTTAATAAAACATATCCTTTGAAATAAAAATAACGGAAAACGAATAACGGACATTATCTATATCATGTACAATAATTAATCATATTACTTGTTCCAAAATACGACGAATTCCTTCACGAGGTGCATCATCGTAATTTGCTGGATCCTCTGATAAAAGTTTCATAACTCGAATATTCCCTCCTGGACATTTTGCGAAAACGTCGGTAAAAGTACCACCGCGATCAATCGCAAAACGAAAGTAATTGTCTGCCATTGTACGCTGTCAGAAAAGAATAGTCATTTTGCTCACATGTTTTTCCAAAAATGTTTCACTTTATTTTTCGTTATCGGCGATTACGAAAATTTTTATTGTTAAATTTAAATCGGGAGAAAAATTTGGATTCCTATATATTTGTGTCTTTACATTCGGAAAAATCTTATAAATACACTGATATTAACTTTTCTGTAAAATAAGAAAAAATACTGTGAGTATTTGCACCAATTACCATAGTAGTTGTTTTACAGTTTTTTTTATTATTCGTTTTAGATAAGATTTCTGAGTTTGTGTTCTACTTATCGATCTTTTTCTAATGCGAATTATCTCACAACTGGAAAAATTTTTCAATACAATTGGATATATAAATGATTTCAAAAATAGGTGCGCAGTAATATCGCGAAATATTTTTATATTTGAAACATTGAAATTTAGAATGCTCGATATAAGCATCGAGTTTTTCAAACAGGCTTGTATCACGAAAAATAATAATTCTTTTTAACGATGAATACTAAAGTTACGTATTATCTTATTTACCAAAGTAGCTTTCAGTTATTGGTAGTATGTTATCTATAGTATATAAATCTTGTAGCCGGTACGTATGCGAGGCAGCCTTTTACGTAATTACATGAAGAAAATGAGTAGTAAGTGAGTAGTAGATATAAATTTTCATACAATATTATGTATTAATGCTTAATTAATTACACATAAAAATGTAATGAATTAAACCAATTTGTTGATCTTAAGAAAAATAATAGTTTTAAAAATAACAAAGCGATAGTTGTATACATTCACATGTATAAACTATACGACTATGATATTGTTTAACATGGGGATGAAAGAATTCAATAGGAAAGCGACGAAAATCGGCTTGGAAAAATTATCGAAAAACTGCGCTTGATTGGCAAGGATAAAAGAAAGCAATAATTCAACGCAATTTAGTTTTTGTTAATAAAAGAAAATTCCAAAAGTTGAATACCTCAGATTAGTATAAATTGAATTTACGTAGCGTTTTAACGCGGTTTTTATAGAAATGACTGTCTTGAATCGTTAGCAAAACTCAAATGTAATTTTTCTATTCGACTAAAGTACCGTTGATAAATTAAAAAAAGAAACAATATATTCTTCATTGAAACGATTCCTACACCTTATAGATCAGACAATAACATAAAACTTCATTTCTGTGGGACAATTCTCTCTCAAAAAGAATATCTCCCTATAAAGGCTCTATCGATAAAAATGGGTTATTTTTTAAATAACGTCTAAAATTTACCATTCTTTAAAAGTGGGTTTTTTAGTCCAGATACGTCTTGTTGTTCTTAACATTATTGATTAATTAAAAGGTAATTCGTTTTATCAGTACAGCTCTCGCATTGGCATTTTTGGGAGAATATATTCTACGTTAGGGTAGTTGACATTTCCGGTTATTTGAAAAAAAACCCATGCTTATAGGTACAGCTCTTATAGGAGCGCACTCCTTGAATCTATATGTTACCTATATCCTGATCTTTCAAGTGCTTGCGTATCGCTTGAATTAGATAATATTTTAGATAATATTTCTTTGACGGTTAGTTTGATGATATTGTGATTGGATCACCAAATTGTGTTTCATTTTTGTTAACGATTAGACACATTCATTTCTATAATAAACAAATTAAAATACTACGCAGATTTAATTTCTATACTAATAGCATTACTGGTAGTCTTTTTCTTTTGGAATTGTTACTAACAAAAATTAATTGCTCGGAGTTGTTAATGAATTTTGATATCCTTGTCAATCACGCATATAGTTTGTCTATAATTTTTCCAGGTCGATTTTCCTCAACATCTCGCTGAGTACCTTCGTCATTACAATTGAACATATAAAATTAATTGTAAGTAGTTTTTGTAACACCGTATAATACTCATGATTTATGGCGTATACATATATATGCGAAAAATTTATGGTTCAAGGATATTATCAATTATTGATAAATAGTCAATATATTTTAGTCTCAAGAAAATATCGAATATTTTATAAACGAAACTTTTCTACTGTATTAGAAAATAATTATATACATAGACACTCATGTTTGTATAGTGTATCTACATATATTCATGAAAAACAAAAATACATTCATTAACATCAAGTTTTAACATAACTTTTAAAGGATTTGAACTGGGGAGACTAAATTATTTTAAAAACAATAAAAACATACCTGTGTATGTATAAAATCAGCTGATCGGAAAACGTTGTCGGCACAAGTGGTTACTCTCTCCACTTACCAACGCTATATATATGCATTTGCAATCTGAGATCTGATGATGATGATAGCGAGCGCTGTAGGCAATTGTGGCGCTCAATTCAAATATAATACAATTTCAACTATTATATGCACCTGAACTATATATAACAGGAATTAAAAATAGAAGAATATTGCTAATCGAGAGTAAAAATCACTTTCACCGGTCAGTTTAGAATAGATAGGAAAAATCAGCAGACAATTAAGTTCAAAAGTTTATATTTTTAGAACAGTTTGAAATCTCTTATGTCTCTTGTTTACGTAGATATACTACTTTGATTTAAATTTAAAAACAATCTTTTTCTATTTCCAATCTTAAAGCAAGACTAAATAAGAACTCGAGATTTCTTATATATACTACAAGATAATCATACTTACTAATCATGTTGCAATTTTTATTTGTATTATAAGACGAAAGTATTTCATACATTTTTTATTTCTGAGAATAATTTATTTAAGTAAAACTAAAATAATCATTCGTTTTCATATGGATTATTTCTCTCGTATTGAAGTAAGATTGTAAGTATACTTATCGAAATTATTTCAAACATAAACGCCATTTAGGTGAGTTAAATTATTTATAAATAATGTTACTGTTGTTGTTGAGCAAATATTTAGAGGCACTTTGAAAATAAAAGTAGGAAATAAGAATTACCATACAAAGTTTAATTACATCAATATTTTGTACATAATTCGATTGATGATAGTAAACTATATAATATTTTAACAAACAATTATACATTTTACATAATAGTATAATTATTTAATTTTTACAGAAATACATGATGATGATAATAACAATAATAATAATAATAATAATCGAACTCAACTTAATAGCTTATAGTCTATTTTTGTCTTATAATATAACTAACAATCACTTAAACTAGGATATCACTTGTGATTCCGCTTTAATTATTCTTCATAAAACTCATAATGCAAAATACTTCACAGTCTTGTAGCGTCACAGAGAAAGCAAAGTTATTGCTTTACTGTTAACAAAGATATCTACGTCAGTTATCTACATACCAACACTTTCCGTAACGACCAATCCATTTTTCTTTGTAATATTGCTACAGATTTGGTCGTTCTGAGAAACACAGTTCTCCTGCCCTCTTAATGCTAAAAATAATATAATATAATGAATGTAAAGTATTAAATTTTATACATTCGATTCTTGTTCTTGTTGCCAACTCTTTGGTGTGTGTTAATAGATTATTTACAAAAAATGTTAACGGTCGACAACCAATATTCATTATATTATACTATTTGTTCCGAAGAGAGCCAAAATTATTGCAATATTACAAACAAAAGTGCATTGATGGAACGTCAGTATTTTCAATTTATTATTTAATTTTATCCATTATCAACTGACATTTTACATTTTCTGTAATACTTGATTCATTTACAAAATTAAATCATTTTCGTAATATTTTTTAAATCTTCCTCATAGCCGAATTTTCTCTTGCAAAATTTCATTGTACAAACTTTCTGTTAATCGTACATACTTTCCAGATTTTTCAAAAAAATATATAGGCTCTTTTATCTAAAATGTTAATAGAATCGTTAATGAATCCTCAGAATATGCTTAAAAAATGAAGTAAAGAATATTCACCTTGTGTATATCAAAGCCTTCTTGTTGGAGATCTTTCTTTTTCAATTTAAAAGTTCCTAAAATAAATTATGATCCACGTTTCATTATAATAAAATAGTCGCTTTCGATTTTATTCTTACCGGTCATAGGAAGAGTGGAAAGGACTCGAACAAATAATGGTCTTGCATAAGTTGGTAAAGCCTTTTTCACCTTTTCTGACAATTCATCCAAGTTGATATTTTGAGTAGGATCATAAATAGCTGCCATGCCGGCTTTTCCTTCATTCCCGGAAACCTAAGTACAAGAAATTTAATAATATGCCTTTACAATATTTCCATAGATTTGACAGTAACACGAGTTTTTTAAAATGATTTGTTGTCTAATAGATGTGAAGAAATAGTTCTAAATGAAAATGTTACTTACTTCTACACCGTATACTACAGCATCTCTTAGACCAATTGCATTACTAATAACAGCTTCAACTTCAGAAGTAGCTACATTTTCGCCTCGCCATCTACAAATGTGCATTAATGGAAATATTCCGCGAGAATAGGAGTTTTTTCAAAAATGAATTGAATAAGATATTAAATAAAATGCATGTAATACCTGAAGGTGTCACCAGTTCGATCTTTGAAATAAAAATAGCCGTATTCATCCATTACCAAAATATCTCCTGAAAATATATACAGGACAAATTTTAGAAATGAATGTTGATTTACTAAGTATGCAGACTGCTAGTCACAAACCTGAATTGAAAACACGATCTCCTTTCTTGAACACATCCCTAACAATTTTTTTCTCTGACTCATTTTTGTCGACGTAACCGCTGAAATCACTGACAGCTTTTTTCGGGTTGATTTTGCCGACGAAAACTCCAGGCTCGCCTGGTTCACATAAAATGCAAAGACCATCAGGACCTCGAACAATCTCACCATTTGATTCATCAACTTTTAAAAGAGCTACTGGATAGAGGGAACGAGCATAACGCGGTACAAAACCAACTGCACCAATTCTGCTGTCGATATTGACTATAACAAATAAGGATAATTTAGTTTTAATTAAAGATCCTTATATATCTATAGTAAGTTAAAAATCGGTATTGGAGTAAGGTAAAAAATAATCGAATAATGCGTTGAGTAATTCAAAAGAAGTAAGTTGAAGTAACTATATTTAATAAAAAAAATATCACTGCAGATGAACTCACCTAAATTAGAATTGCCTTCAGTAGCTCCATAAAATTCCCCAATTTGTTTCACTCGAAATCTTTCTATGAATGGTTTCCAGATTTGAGGTCGAAGTCCGTTGCCGTACATCAGTCTTACGTTGTGTGCAGTATCAGTTAAATCACGAGGCACGGCAAGAAGATAACGACATATTTCACCGATGTACTGAGCAACCTTCAAACAAGATAATAATCAAAAATATTACTGAACTTTGATTAATTTTAATATTCTACAATGCCGCTCATAATATATTTATGCGAAAAATCATTTTTATTTTATAGCTCGTTCATAATAACAAATACATCATTGTATTTTTGAAGTTCTATGCATCTTATACCAAATTAACTTCAATAGTATATGAATTCAAAAATAAACAGTATATTTGTGATTGTAATGATTTACTTCAAATGAATTTAAGCTGTTCAAGTACAATATATTTACTAAAATATTTACTATTAACTTTTTCAAAAAATAATTTACACACAAATTTGCACTTATTGCTCTGAATTTTTTTCTGGGGAGGTTAAAAACTCTGTTAATGGAAAGTTAAAAAATATTGCCTTCATTGCCGACACCGCTCGAGCACAAAGATTATTACACATTACTCTTTTATGTACAGAAGAAATAATATCGAAATAAAAGAGAATTGAAATTGAATAAAATAATATATTTGTTAAAATGACAATATTACCGTGCATTCATATTGTACACAGTCGGGCCAAAATTGCGAAGCACTAAAGCGTCGTCGAAGTACAACCGTGACTCCACGCAATACTGCCTGTCCAGCACCAACAATACCTCCAGCAGTGTGATAAAGAGGTAGAGAATTATAAATGCGATCAGATGACTTAAGTCCCAACATCGAATATACACCACACGACATCAACATGTACCTATATGAAACGTGCTTTTGTTATGAATATTGTATGTTTCTTTTTCAGATTTAATGTCCAAATTTATATTACAAAATATGTATAATTTGGTGAATATGTAACAACAAAATTATTTTAAAAATAAATTAATTCATTGAAATCATATTAACAAATGTTCTTTAAGGGAACCAAGTCAATGTTAAGTAGAGAAAATTCAAATTTTTGTTGTTGATATGTTAAAGCTTTTCTAGAAAAATAATGCATTGAAAAATATTTTGCACCATGCACAATTCTGAAAATCAGAATGAACAGGAAACATTTTTAAGGGCTATTTTTTTTTGTTAAAATTGACACTATAAGACAAACAGAGCGATTTTTCAATAAATTAATTCATGCCTATTTTATAATTTTTTCAAAAATAAATTTGGACCATTTTTGGTAAATTAGCGTTTTAAAATATAAAAAAATGAATTTATTGAACAAGTGCTCCGCCTTTCTCATAGTACAGATCCTAACAAAAAATCTACATGGCCTGAAACATTTTCAATAAATAAGATGATATATATATATACATAGTGACTTTGTAGAACGTATATTTTATATTTTGAAGCTATTAACTAAAAATATTCAAATGTTTTCCTAATACTTTCAGGTAAGAAAAATTTTAAGGTGATATTTTTACAGAAAGATTTTAACATACCAAGAAAAGAACTACCAAAAAAATTGTTACCGCTTAAAATTGATTGGTCCCGGTAAGATAAACTATTACATGTTTGTGCATTATTTTATTTGACCAATAGTTTTTTAAATATTATACTTTAATAATCACGTGAGTAAAGTATAGAAAGTAAATAATTCGAATGGTATAAGAGACTAGAAAGTCCAATTGCCTTTATTCAACAGTATCAGAAGCGCTGTTAAATGGACAAATTGTGTATAATTAAATGTTTAAATAATGATGTCGATGTTATTATTGATCAAAAGTGAAAATCACAGTAGTGTGGAGAATAATAATACTTTCGGTTGGAGATGACAGGGTGTAAAAATGAACAAAGTCAAATTGCACGGGAACGATAAAATACCTTAAATTACTGATGACTGCAGCCTTGGGCAAACCTGTGGTGCCGGAGGTATAGATGTAGATGAGTTTGTCACGTGGGTTCCCGACAGATATGTCAATCAAAAGCGGCTCTGGCTCGGTCGCAGCGAGACCTTCGTTCAAATCCATAGCACCTTGCAGTATAGGCAAATTCTTTCGCTCGGACCACTGGTACAAAACCAACTCTGGAATCTTATGCTTGATTTCCGCGATAGCTACAATGCGTTCGTTATCATTATCAATCCAGAACAAAATCAATTGCGCTTCGCTTCGGAAAATCGCGGAAAGCTTTATACCTTCTTTATAGTCGCTGCTGAAAATGACGGCCTTGCAGCCGGCAACTTTGATGCTGTGCACGAGAACATCCCCACGGAGATTGGTGTTGACGAGTGCGGTGACAAAGTTGGCCTTGCACAATCCCAGCCAAGTACCCACATACTCGGCACGACTCTCCATTATCAAGGCTACGGAATCCGATCGAGACATTTTTGGACGGAAATAACGTCCGATGCGGTTGCTGAAGTCTTCCAACTGCAAGTTAACGTATCACTCACTCTTACTATATGTATCGAGCTACGTTTTGCTTTTCTTTTATAGTTTCTTAACATTTTCATTCAAAACTATATATAGTCTGTAACTGTTGCATACCGCTTTATATGTCCATTCTTGATCTTCGAAGATAAAAGCTATTTTATCCGGATGAGCTTCGACAAGTCCGGTAAAAATTTTAGCTACTGTATAAAATCTTGTTTCCCACCACCAAAGAAGGGCATTGACTTTCATAAATCGGAAGGCACCTCTGAAATATTAATTTTAGTAGATTCTTAATTAGTCATTATGGTAATAAAATTTAAACTATTATTAAAGTTCTATAAGATACGGTCCCAAAGACTATATCTAATGTAAAATCCGTAAAATCATAAAATATATTTTAAATTATGCTGAAAAATTCTTTCAAGTCACGGATACTTTCTACATTATCGTTTTTATCTACAGCTCTCTCATTCTCTCCCGCACTCCTCCACCCTCCCCTCCTGTTTAAATTGGTTAATGTTTCAGTCGTCATGAATTGTGCCACATGCGAGATTCCTAGCTATAGTGATAGTTATTACGGCAAACGCACATGTGTACGATGGAAAAGCAAGAACAGAAGGTAAAAGTAACAGAGAAGCATCCGTAGTTTTGTTGCGCGTGTAAAATATTTGCTTGTCATAATTAGGTAATGCTGTTATATTTCCATGGGCTCTAAAGCCTGATATAAAAATTCAATCTATAAGAAAATAATTCTAGCGGTCAAAAATTGAATAGACGTTATTTAATTTAAAATGCTGTATGTAAAATTATACCAGATAAAACGTTTTTATTAACATATTTTAGTTATTGAGGCAATTCTTTTGTTGTGATATTAATTACAACGTAGATTTATATCGGCAATTCTAGGCTACTATAAAGGAAACATATTAACATTAAAATTAAATTATTATTCTATTTTTACATTGCTTTCTACATTTTTTAAATTAAAAAAAAAGATCGATCAAAATATTGATTAATGATATCTGTTTGTACATGTTTGAAATAAAAATACTCTGAATGAATACAGTTTTGTTATAAAGAAATCGAGTAATAGACTAACAGGTAAAAAGCCGATATTTTTCCATAAAAGCAAGGCATCCTGGAAAGTGGAATATCTTGCTATCATATAAAGAGTTGTAACTTAACTCCTTGTGGTTAAAGCTTGGGATATGTCTTACGATGACGACGATCAGATACAAAATCAGTACATAATAATCATACTCAAATAAAAATAATAGCTTGTTTATTTTATGACTTTAGATTTCATTTGAGTATAAGCATTGATAAATAACTAATGAAAAACTAAAATGATAAACAGAGCTACGAAAACATTATAAGAATTACAAACCAGCACTTTTTACAGAATGAAATCAATTCAGAGAGAGAGGGAGAGAGAGGGAGAGAGAGGGAGAGAGAGAGAGAGAGAGAGAGAGAGAGAGAGAGAGAGAGAGAAGTACAGTCCAGGAAATTTCGCACGAGTTCTTTAGTTCGACGCGTTTATTATGTATAAGTATGTCATGTTGAACGTCACCAAAAATACAATACATGAAATAACAATGGCTTATTATTAAACGGGTAATTAATATAATATAATTTTTACACCACTGTATTATTGCATTGTTATTTACTTTATAATTGTAAAACAATTTATATCGTAAAACGACGATTCATAGAATGCTTTTTAAGTTTAATTGAAAATGAAATAATTGTTCATTTGTTAAAAGATAAATCTTTCAAAATAAGTTTATCATTATTTTGTATTTCATGTAAATCGCGAAACTTAAAGAAAACCAATTAGTTATGCCATTCCTCGCTTGCTGTTTGCCTGTAAGTTTAAATTAATTACCCTGTTTAGTGTGTTATTAAATCTCCAAGTAAATTATAATCAATAATAGCAATTATGTTGGCAGTCAGCTGCTCTTCATTCACGAGTTCAGTTGTCGAGATTTTTAGAGTAAATTGACATAATAAAATTAAATCTAGTTTGCAAATGAATTTTTCCCAGTAAAATTAACTTAAAGAAGATAAGAATTGTTTTGAAGTATTTTTTTCTTATATATTTGAGATAATATTTTCAAACTACTAAGAACAATAGTTAAAATTTAATCTTTTATGTGTACAAATATAAGTAAAATATCTATTATGAATAGAAATAATGAGCACATGTTGATTCTTGCACGCGTGACGTATATACTCTCGCATGTGTGCTTGCTCAAACTTTGGACTTCGCATGCCAAGAAAATGTAAATTCCTTCGTCAAATTTATTTATGATTATTAGAACCACCATTGAATTACAATCACATAACTCAACTATTAATCATGCTACGAAAATACCCATGATTGAAAAGGCTAATTTTTTTCAATTCCTAATTTTCTGTTCGAAAATTACTTTGACAATAACAGATATTTGTAACAGTAATAAATAAGTGACTTTGAAGTTCAAATTCGCAGTACTATATAAAATGTATGTACTATAGAGTGAAAATTGTTGGTTTAGTAAATTACAGGCTTTTTAGCGAGCAATTGTCAGTATATAATTAATCTGAATTCAACAGGTAATGACAACAAATTAATGTGTTTGAAATTGCGGAATTTATCACGATTAAATTTGCTCCAATATCACGAAGGACTTTCACGGGTTCCTTTGCTTCGCATTTTTCACTTATTCCGCGTTTCTCTTTCAGAGCCAGTCAGCAAATAGTAGCTTATACATCAATTTGGCATGTGCTTGTTATAAATGTCTGTGCGTGTGAATTTCAGAATAGCTCGAAGTTTTGTTTTGATGTTAATAAAGGGGGACAATATATTGGCATGTGGAATCGACATGTCTAGTCTGAAAGTAAATAAGTCAAACTCGTTGTACTGCACGATTTGTTTTGCTGCTGGTTCTAAGGTCACCGTCAATGTTGAGATTATTGCAAAACCTTTGTTTACAGAATCGCATAAGCCAGCGCAGTAATTCGCGAGATTAATGCAACGATCGAGGCGATTATCGCATCGAAGAGTTGTACGACTTGAGAGTATGAAGTATATTGTTAGACAGACAAGTCGGATCATGAAGATCAATCTTACAGATGCGACGAAGACACGGTAAAATGAAGAGTGCGCGAATTAGACGATCGCACGCGAACACACATAATACGACGAATCTCGTTCACGATTCGGCGCAAGCAGACACGCGCAATTACGTAGCGAGCAAGCGCGGGCAAGCTAGTCAATTGATCGGAACAGTAGTACTTAAGCAACTTACAGAATGTCCCGTGGAAGAGTCTTGCAGAGTATGAAGATAAATTTGCGGCGGCTTTCGGACAGGAAGATGCCAGCGAGGAGGAGTGCGAGGATCGAGATGACGATTTGGTGCAGCATGGTCGGATGCAATCTTGGTGTACTCGATGCAGTCGTAAGCTCGACAGCGGTAACGCGCCGCTGCTCCCAATCCCAATCAAGTCGAATCAGACGCTCCGCAGTGCACAATAGCCAGCGACGGTCAGTGCACGCTTATCTCTCTCGCTCTCTCCCTCACGTTTGCTTCGTCTCTCGCAGAATGTGAGCGCGACCGAGCCTACCAACTGTTAATTCGCTACTGGCTGCTTGTTGCTGCCTGCGAGGAGTAGGGTGAGGACGCGACAAGTGCGTGGGCGGTGACGGAGAAACAGAGAAACTGGCAGCACTGTATATGCGTTGGCTCGTGGAAAACAACGACGTCGCCATAGCTCACGTCACCATGCTTCGGACTTGCCGGTTCTCTCTGATCTTCCCCACCTCTTCCTCTCTTCCACGGCATCCGTGAAGCTCACGTTGCGTTCTACCGTTCTATATTGTTACTGCACTATCTTTCAAAACTGAATAAAGCTGGATTTCAGTATTATACCACAATGTAACTATTTCTATCGTCTCTGATAGTCCAGGATTTCTACCAATAATCACAAAAATTAGCCTCAAGCCAACACTTGGATGTATTTACCACTATTTGATTTCAGTTGAAAGTATGAAAATTACCGTGATCGACCATCTTTTATTTAGAGCTTTGAGCGATGGTTGGCTATTCAAATAATTATTATAAATCCAAAATGTGAAATAAATAATAAGGTCAATAAGAATACTAGCAACTGTGTATGTTATATGTGGCTATTAAAAAAATACATATATAACTATTAACTATAATAGAAAGATCAAGACAGCTAGGCACAACGTAGTAAATGTTAGCGCATACGGTTTTTTAAAGCATTGATATTATGCACATGCGCAAATTGCGATTAATCTATGTTAGAGGTCCGCAATAACAAGTTGTCAGTTTGACTAACGTTGTTGCCGATTTCAGCAATTTTTATTCGAACTCGGTACCAATTTTTCCAAGTACATATTCTAGTTTTCATTTTTTTCTTTTAGTTTTTTTCGAGTTGATTTTTATATGTCGAGATCTCATGAAAAATCATCAGTTTTTACACTGGCACGTATGATTAATAAACAACTATTAATAAACAACTATTATATGATGAAGAAGCACATAAGCATGCAAAAGAAATTTGAAAGGAATGTTTATCGTAACTACATAATGATTGACTTGCAAAAATTAAAAAGTATATATAAGTAGAAAAACATATTTTTAAAGCAATTGACCTCAAAAATAATATTTCAAGTATTTGAATTTTGTTCACTAACTTATTCTTCTCATACCTTTACAGGCGAATATTTATTAAAAAGTTATATAATATTTAATCAATCATTTGTGTGACCATTCATTATAATAATTTATATTGAAGCTACCTACGAAATAACAAAATCATGGAAGTAAATGAAATTGATCACTGTAAGAATTATTTTTTATTAAAATGTTTTTGACAAATATTACACAATCTTAACATGATAAATATTTAAATACATTGTTGGAATGTTATTCCAATTAACGAAACAATGCTTTGATCTTATCTAACAAATAATTACATTATTATAGAGTAGTTTACAAAAATAGTTGCTCATTTATTGATAAGAGCTATAAAACTTGTTAATATATGACAAGAATTATTTTATAAAAATATTATACATATTTTTTTCAGTCAATACAATCAGCACATTAATATGTACTCATTAATCACATTAATTATCTTGTGGTAAAGATTTTTTGAACATAAGTTTTTTTAACAAGATGATACTTTGAGCTATGAATATAAGTTATCAAATATGCAACATTTGTTTCACGTCCCCACATATACAGTTCTTTACAATACCATTCCGGACGTGATAAAATTATGTTTGACATTAAATTAGAAATGAAACAAAATCTATCATTAGAGTAAATGAGTTACAACTTTCAAAATTCAGCAAAACAAATAAATTAAGACTTTACAAAATAATTCATACTAAAAGCGACTGAAATCGTATATTTTCAAAATTTTTAAACTTTTCACGCTTTTCTAAGTAAGCTCATAGAATAAAATATATTAAACATTGAAAAAATATCTAAGTATATAGAACAGACGTACCACAATTGCGTTGTAATACCTTTTATGCCTTGTACGTCGACTTTATTTATCACTCTTTGAGATCAAGAGTACTTGTAAATGATAGGCACTGAAAAAAAATTGTTAAATATATTTTATGAAATATACGATCTGTAAATATTTGTATGTAATATGAAAAATGTTGGAAAGAACACTAAAAACATATTAAATTTTGTTTGATTATTAAAAAAAACTTCTGCAAATTACCTTAGATATTTTCAAAGATAGATTTTTTGAAAATATATAAGATGAGTCGAAGGTGTTATTTCTTAACAAGCGGCTTATAAAACCCTTTATCCTTCCGATTTAGTGTACTTTGATTGTTTGAGTTAGTATATGCTCATAGCTAATGTGTTCTATTGGTTAAGAGGCGAAAAATTTATAAGCTTGTTTAATTAATTTTAATTAATTGACTATGTAGCTTTTTAGATTAAAATATTTTGTTGATATGATTAATTAGAAAATATTTCCTGAAGAATATGTGCAAAACGTTAGAAAAGATGCAGATCAGTGTTTAAATTTGTTTTCAATTAAGGGTTGACCCTCAATATCATATTTTTTAATTTATAATTTTATAAATATTTCATTATTTTAATAATCCTATTATGTTATTAATCAGCCAACGCTTCAATTATACTGTACCTAAAGATAAGTAAAGTAAGATGGGTTTACAAGGTACTTAATTATAGGTACCTAATATTATCAGTGTAATCGATTTGGATGATTTATGGAAATATTTCGACTGTTTGGAAATTTTGTCGTAAGATCAAAGAAAGCTCTGGAATTAATTAACATCTAAATTATTTTCTGTGAAATTGTCGTGATTAAACATTGGTCAGTTCACAGTAATTAATACTAAATTTGTTTCGTTTTTGTGTAACATTGTGTCTGCAGTACCATACCCGTTGTATTTAAAAAATAAAAAATTTTAATATTATTGATCATTGATTTGCGCATTACTATTGATCTTAAGAAATAATTTTTTTTTAATATTTAAAAAGAACACAAAAGATTATCAGACAGATAATAATTATAAATATTGTCGAAATACATTGTAATTACCTAAGTTGGGATACTGACTAGTGCAATTTGCTACCTGAGAACTAGGTAAAGCGCCAAGACATCCAGGACTGAAAAGTATGCAACTTACAACGACATCGGATTTCAAAGACACAAGAACAAGCCACGAAGGTGATGCGAGCACTAAGTTAATTTTAATTGAGATAATCAATTGAATGATCGCGTTTATTTAAGTTTTTTAATTTTTTTTCATTATTATTTGATAACCTGTTAAAAATTCGAGTAAACAAATTAGGCAATTTTCGAATTGAAATACCAATCAGTAATGGATCAAATAACAAAAACTATTTAAACGTACGAATATGAATAGAATTCTCCAGTATAAAAATCTTCCTTTCCTTTTTTTTTGAAGATATACAGTCACAAATTAGAAATCAGTGAAACTCGAAAAAGCGATAAAAAATGTTATGCTTGGTTTTCGAAAAAAACTAATATGAAAATTAATTAATTCAACAGAAGCATTGGACTATTTTTTTAATAATCACTTATGTCCCAAGCTATCAAATAAATTTATATTTATTTGTAATTAGTGTTTATATAAAATATTTTTAAGCTCACTTCACTGCTGCTTTTAATCAGACTAAACGCATATTTTTCAATAATTTTCTATAAACGTAAATATGCCAATTATATCATTTTGGCATGTTGCTTATCAAAAATTCTAGGTGACATTACAAGCAAGATCAATCTTTAATTAAACATCATTTTTTATAATGCAGTCGTGCTTATTTAAGTAATGAAAGTACAAAATAATATAAATAAGAGAAGAGATATGTAAAAAAGATGATATATTTTTAGTCATTTTCATGAGTCAAAGCGAGATGTTATCTATAAACTGGTTATATACCAAATTCGTCAGTAGAATAGTAAACAATGAATATTTGAATACCAATATTATCATTAACATATAATGAATGATTATTATTTCGCTAGATTAGTGATGATACCAGAAAAACTATGATATGTTAGTATCATTCTTAAATTATTTAATCAGTGCAGTCGTTTAAAAACACACTTGAATGGGCCGATGATATATAGTACATTACCATTGACTTAAATTTTTTCAAACGGTTTTTGGATCTCATAATAATTTGTGATTGTTATTATTTAAAAAAAATTCATTCCCTGCTAAGCCCCTATCCTAACTTGTTTTATCACACAACAACATCACAATCTTATTTTGCGAAAAACAAAATTAGGGTGGGTGTTTGGCGGGAAATGGAGTTTATCTAAATATTATAAAACAATCACGAGTTTTAACTAATGCAAGAAAGTAAACTCTTGTCTTGTGCGAGATTTATTAACAGAGGTAGGCGTCGTAGAGGTATGAGGTGAATAAGCATACGGAATGAAAATCACTTTCTCAAACATGTTATGTATAGTTTTCTTTTCGAAATAACGTGTGGAAAGCTTGAATATGCACGCATATTTTACGCTGCACATGTGGCAAAGCCGTACTTTCTATACGACAGGTTGAAAAAAAAGTTTTAGTTAAGTAATATACTATTAAAAAAGTTTTGACAGACCATCATCTACGTACGGACGCCACAGTAATAATCTAAAAAATTTTATTTTGTATACTTTGAAAACATTAGGTTATACATTTCTTTCGTTTTTTCATGTAAACTATTTGATTTTTATTATAATTAATTTTTATTAAATATTGACCGACATTTTAGTATTCAGTAAAAATAAAATTATATAGTTTGTAAGGTAACAAATTTATACTAGTTTTTACTAAAACTACTTTTTAGTATATAACAGTTTTACCATGTAGGAGAAAAATAAATAAATTTTTTTTAATTGTTATTTCTTATTGAAATATTATTCATAAAATTCGACTGAGAAATTCATACAACAAAATTATAACATTACGTACATAAACATTATCTATATAAGAATTAATTTAAAAATATGTTATGTATTTGAATGAGCAGTATTTTCAAGCCTGTTTCCTGATAATTTTGCTTTTTTCTTTTTCTCGCACCACCTTCCAAGCCAAAAATAATTATGATAAATTAGATTAACTCACCTATGATGCATAAAATGGCTGTTATTGTTATCGCTATTATAATAATTCTGCCACACATATTTTGCATCCAAGCTCGCCTTTGTGCTTTCCTTGCAGCCTCGCGAAACTCATTACCAGCTGAAGTCAGTCTATCACTTGCTACTTGCAGATCCTCTAAACGCTCCCCTCTCTCCATAACCCTCTGTACATTATCACGCATAACATCAGTTACTTCCTTTATTTGAATTCTCACACTGTAATAAATATACTTATTAAGATATAAGAAGTAGATCCTTTATTAATTGTTAAAATTTGCTCAGCAAACTGATTTTAAGATTTGACTCACAACATATATATATGTTTTTGCTATACAAAAAAAAAGATAATAGATGTATCCCAGAGGAAAATTAATTGTAGAACGTTGAGTAAGATAGTTATAGGGTAAAGGTATTCATAGTCAACTAGCCTATAATATAGTTGTCCAACAAATTAAGATGATTCAAGTGTTTATTGTATCTTAATTTTTTTTATTCATCAATCATAAAATGTTAAATTAAAATATTACCCTGTACTATCACAAAATTTGGACTAATATTTGGCTATCCTGGCCAAACAATAGTATATCCAATATCATATAACAATATAACAATAGAATAATATCAATATAACAATAGTATGTCAACTATCATTTTTTTTAAACTTCAATTATTGCTTTCTTACTCTGCAACAATTAAAAATAAATTCTATCTAAAAAACAAAATATCTTTACTGTAAGATTCCATATTTTTAAAAAAATTGCTATTAATTTAAGCATATTTTTTGTATTAGTTTAAATTGAGAAATATCTTAAGGTGATTGATTATTGTAGTATTGTCTTTTTTCTATCTGAATTAAATTTTGTAAACAAATACTTTGTAAAGATATTTTGTAAATAGATTGAAAATTGATATTTTATGATTAATAAAGAGATACAATTCCACTAATTTTTCAAAATGTCCTAAAGTTTCATGTATCAGTGTGGATAAAATTGAACATCTACAATTAAATACTAACCAATTGCAACTTAACCATTTTATATTTTACTATAACATAATGAAGTGGATTCTTTAGAGAAATAGAGTAAGTCTGATAGACATTACCTTGAGATTTTTCCATCAATGTGCAATTGTCCATCGGCTGAACTTGTCCTACTGCAACAAATGTTAAATTATAATATAATAATATTATAATATAATATATATATATATATTATATTATATATATATATTATTATTATATATAATATTATATTATTATATATATTATATATATATATTATATATATATATAATATATATTATATTATATAATTATAATATAATATAATAATAAAAATAATTATAATATAATTAAAGAAAAAAGATGAATTAAAATCATTCTTAATAAACTTTGCATCGATATAATATTTATTTAATAAATCCATTATTGTGACATATGTGCTTAATTAAATACAGATAATCATAATATTTAGCATACGTAAAAATTTTTCATAAAATAAGGAAGTAATGTACAAAACTAAAAATTCAGTAGAAACCTACAAAAAATAAGTGATAAATGCAATTTATCTTAATATATACCTGAACAGCATATCTTCCTCTGGCTCACTATCATGATCCAAGAGAGTTTCCTGAGAAATTACAGTATTATGAAAGTTAAATTATTTTCTAATGTCAATTCAAATGAAACCGAATAATAAAAATATGAAAACATTACTTTTTCAGCATCATCTGCATGCTGCAAATCTCCACTAGACAAATTACGCCCTGACCTCATCGCCATTTTTCATATTGGTGAATTCTACACTGTCCAGAATGAATTAATAAAGCTTAGGATAAAAAAGCTTAAACGATAAAAAAAACACATTAAAAAGACAACATTGACTCAAATAATGTTAGCGGCCATCATTAATATCATAGAGACTACATACTACATAGACTCCATGACTGGCAATCTCATTATGTTTTTTATTATTGATAATAATACCAATGAATATAGACGTATAGATCAGATCCATATGTATCACATACATGACATACATATATACTTGGTTAGTTAAAGAAATGCTGTTAGATGGCGCTAGGATGACGTGGGGAGTTTGAATGGCTTAAGCCATAAACTCAGAGGTTATCCTCTCTCCAGCTCATTCGTCTTAACTCAAAAGACTATTCAATCCAGCATCGTTTCTTTTTCTGTGTGCTTAGTAATTAGTCTAGGTGCAACGGGGGTTTTTATAAGACTTGGAGGGTCTCTGAGATTACTTAAATGATTTCTAGGTATTTTAACCTCCTGATTCCGAATTTTGATGGTGGAAAGCTGTAAGTGGTCAAAATAATTTGTTATGAACAAATTAAATGTTTAAATTACCATAACTTTGTTACTAATCAAGTTATCGGGCTGGAAAACAAGTCAAATAATTACTTATTCATTAAAAAACGTACTGATTTTTTCAGATTGCAAAAATATTGATTAGAACTGGAAATATTGCAAATTAACCAACAAAAAACGTCGACGACTAAATATTTTATTGTTTGAAAGGCCAGAACTTTTGTTCTAGTTAACTTTTGGGTACCGGAAATACATCAAATTGTTATTACATAACAAATAAAAGCCCGTAACTTTTTTTCGACGTAGGTTTCACATAATTATAATATACCAAATGATTTGTTATTATCAGAAGAATGCAATGGTTTTTTGAAATTGCAAAAAGGTTGATTACAACCGAAGATATGGCGATTTCACTAAACATAATTACAATCATTAATATTATCTATGATTGAAAATATTGATGAAAAAATACAGCTGTTTATCACCTTTTCCGTTTATACATATCGTCTGCTACAGCCGCGGCAAATAAAATGTTTTAATTTAGAATAATAGGATTTTATAATAAATTGTACGACGAATTATTTTTTTTCAGTAACTTTCTATCATAGAATTCATTGTTTTCGAGGAAAACGTAAAAATAGGCCTAAAAATGCTCTTATTTTTGCTTGTTTTTATTATAAACGTTCATTGTACAAATAGAACAGCTCAAAAATATTTGGAGTTGATGAATTATCGATCTATATTCCTGAGTCATTGCAATAAAAATTTATCATGGTCCCGCCATATCTATTTTTAATTTTAATATAATTGGATGTACTGAATAGAGACAAAGTTCCGGTGGATCATAAAATAATAGTATTATCAATTTAATTAGTTGCTATCTATTGCTATGAATATAATAAATTTTCTGAAAATTTTTATAGCATCTTTTATTATGTATTTGATGATATAAACCAGATTCTAAAAACTTGTTACTAACGAAAATTGAATGAAAGGAATAGAATAACTCAATTGCTATACGCCGTTCGTTATTTTGCAAAGGAAAAACTCAATAGCTATGGTGCGTCACAGCTGTGTCCCACAATTTTGGGTCCTACTTCGGTTAAGAAAACCGACGCTAACTCCCACAAACACAAATTCACCGCGAATGGCTGAAAAATTGAGGCCAAGCAATTAAGACATATCATACACCAATTTCATATATATATATATATATATATAAATATATATGTATAAACGGCGATCTCTTTATTACGCCCAATAAAATCAATTACAAAATTAAATAAATAATTATAGTGTGAGTAAGCGGACTCGCTCACATACCAAAACGCGAATCAATAAATGAATAAAATCCGAATTAATAACAAAATTACAAAGAGTGAGCGTATTCGCTCACTCGTGGAAACGCGACAATCGAGCAATTTAATTTAATTTAAGCAAAGAGAACACGGGCCAATTCGCTTTTTTTTGTTCTCGACGCAAAAGGATAAAATCACGGCCGCGAAGTTCCGAGCGAGAGCTGTTACAGAGAGAGAAAGAAAGTTGGATGCTCTAAAGAGCGAGCCACCAGGTTTCGTCGTACTCCGCTCGTAGGTGACAGTCCGGAGACGATGGAAGTGCAGCCTAACTGGCAGAGGCATTCGAGGGATGAAGACACCTGCGCGGCTGTCGAGCCTCGAAGATGGTAATGAGGGGTGATAGCCAAAAGACGCGCCTTGTCAGGACCTCGTGGCGACCTTTGCCTCGGCAGTGATGGCCGTGTGCCGAACTCGTGTCCTGGTACTTCAGGGCACTGCGCCTCCGGAGAGTATCCTCGACAGCTCAGACTCACAAGAGTTCTTCTGTCTCTCTCTCCACCTTTTTTCGGACTCTCTTACTGGTTTTTTGGCTAGATCTTTTCTCTGGTTTTCTCTCGGCTTTCCCTCTGATTTCTCTTTCGATTCCCGCGAATTCTCTCGCTTAAGAATCCACCGATTCACCCCCTCTCCACTAATTAGCTGCTCTCCTTCTCACTTTCTGCTCTTCTCGCTCTCGCCCTCATCTCGAGCCCCCTTCCTCCGTCCGCGCTCACATCTTCCAAGCCCTGCAATAAACCAAGCGTAAATGCCATGTTGCCATAGCCATGCCTAGTCGCTGCGTCCGTGCGAGGAGAGTGCCGCACACAGGGCCAGCGATTATCGCTGTTTGCCCTGTCACGATTTAAATCAGGCAGTGGCAAAATGGAGTAGAACTGTATTCATAAATGAAATGTGTTTGCTACATCCAAAGACGGTATGAATCATTTTTTTCAGCATCTGGTTTAGTGAAGCTGTTTCATTTGAGACCATACGAGAGCTTTTTTCGCTCTCTATCACTTATGCACGAAAGCCTATATTGAATTCAGCCCTTGCAAAGGCTTGATTATATTTTGGGCGAAGATAATGAAGAGTTGGAGACCTCAGCAAGCTCTTGATAACGAAAAATTTGGTCTATAAATCGGAGAATCGTGGTTAGCCCTAACTAATGAGACACTAATTTACTATGCTCAATGATTCAATGTCTAGAAGATCACAATGTTATCGATACACAAGGAGATCATACAAAATATTAAATTGAAAACAACTTTAAGAGCGCGTGCAAAATAGGCATCCATCTATACATTCATATTATAAGTAAAACGCGTAATAATAACAATTTATTATTCTTATATAGTTGTGATTATGTTCATCGATAAACTGATTATTAGTATTTGTACAAATTCTAAGTTCATCTAGTTCATCATAATGATAATATCATCTATAACAAATATTTATTAATAAAACATATTATTATGTTAACACAAATGACTCTAAACCTATATTGCACTAATTTTACAAACAAGTCTTGACGAATTCTTTATTATTTAATGTAACGGCCCGGAAAATAATTAAATTATTCTCGCGGCCTGTCAACAATTTTGTCTTCGCTGCTCGGTGCGGGGCTCACCGCCGCCCCGATCAGCTAGCCGCTTCCTGGTGTTCCGCCGCGCACGGACGGACACGTGCTGCCCTGAAAAGGGATCAAGGTGCCTTCCTGGGTACGCCCAACACAACGACAACACTTGAGTAGGTCAAATCGGGCTTTATTCACTTAGTCAGATTTTTCACACAATACCGCATGCCGAGATTTCGCTTCGAATTCTACTTTAGAGAGAGAGAGAGAGAGACGCTCGCTCGCGCAACTAACGCACGCTAAGTTGTCGCTTACGAACACGAAGAAACTCACCGGGAAGTAGCTGCTGCAGACAGACTACTCCTTCTCGCTAATCGCCCTCGCTATCGCCCTTGCTCGGGCGGACAAGCTCTGCTCCTGCGAATCGCCCACTGGAGGTGACGGTCCACGGGCTCTGGCGATCCTCGGGGATGATGTTAAACTCTCTTGCGCACTTTCACTTTTATTATTTTTTTTTTGGTCGTTCTCCTTTTCTCTTATTTCTCTTTTCTTCGCGCGCGCGCGTAACAACAGCTCCAGCTCCCAGGTCCCAGTGCCGGAAAATCGTCTCCTCTCCCCACTCTACCGCCGCGGCACGCGCCTCATCGAGTCTCGCTCTGTCTCTCTCTACTTCGCTTCGCGCTCGCTTGCCCGCTTGGCCATGCTCGGCCTCGTGCGCGGGCAATTTTCCGCGAAAACGGCCCCGGCCGTTATATTAATTAATTAATTTATCATCAACACTTATAATGTTATTTTCATTTGACTCAGATTAGGTATTTCTATATATTATGTTATAGTTAATATCATATTATTCAACAAATAACTCAAATCTTTCATTGTACACTTGAAAAACAGACATATTCGTAGAGAACTAATAAGACAGAATTCATGAAAGTAAATTATTATATGAAAAAAACTTTGAGTTGAGGCCGTGAGCGCGGGGTGAAATAAACTATATTGATGGTGTAAGGATAACTTTATTTGATCCAGGCTAAGAATTACAAGTATCACACGACTCGGCAGAACGTAGACCGTGAAGCCGGCAGAAGGCCGAGCTGTTTGCTAGTCTCGGGTTCGCGCTGGAGTGGCAAACTCGCCCCAGCTACTTGGCGTTTCTCCTCGGAAAAAATCCCGTGAATCAGGCAAGTCCCTCCCACGAGATCCGTGGAAGGGTAGCTGGGACAGCGGGTTAACATTAAAAAAACGCAGGTTGTGCGTGCGCTTTCCTTTAAGCAAACTCATAAACGCAGACGAGCGACCGTCGACGTTTAATGCGTTTATTGCTGATGGCCATAAAATCTCCAGCAATTCGTACAAGATTTATGAAGTTTTTCTTGCAACAAACGGTGAACTTCTGGCCGACACGTGGAGAGAAAGTGCACGCCACATCACCCCCTTACCAGTGGTAACGCTGAACTAGGATTAAACTAAACAATCATCAAGGTACGCAAACAAACTATAAAAAACCAGCTTGGTAACGGTCTGGAAAATGAACATTTCGTCCAGAACGAGTGGTAAAGCGGTTATTGTTAACGAGACATGGCTGTTGGACATTGACAGGCGCTTCGTTGTTATTACAATTGATGTTATGCTGCTCGGCATTAACAGGTGGAGGAACGACTCGAATCGGAGGCGTAACTTTATCATCATTACGTTGTACTGTGATATCGTAGTCCACTTCGTCGTAACGTTCACGATTACATTTATTATTTACATTGTTTTCGATGTCGTCGGATACAATGAATGCGGGCTTGAGTTTGTCGATAGAAACGCGAACCTTTTTATCGTTTATATCGATAACGAAAGATTTGTCGTTACGTTCGAGGACTTTATAAGGCCCGTCGTACGGAGGGTCGGATGGACCTCGTACGGCGTCGTAGCGCAAAAAGACATAAGAAGTAGTGGCTAAATTCTTAAAAATAAAAACGTTTTTTTCGCCATGTCGTCGTGTAAGTGATGGCTTAACGTTAAAAATACGCTTTTTGAAAGCTTCAACAAAATCTCAGGTCGGATTTAGGTTGCTTGCGTGGAAAAATTCCGCCGGTAAACGCAATCCGGCGCCGTATACAAGTTCGGCCGCCGTCGCTCCGAGATCCTCCTTTAATGCACTACGCATACCTAAAAGCACTACAGGTAGTATGGATACCCAATCGTTACCGTCGTGACATCTTATTGCTGCTTTAAGTTGCCTGTGCACTCTTTCTACTTGGCCGTTTGCTTGTGGATGGTAACTTGTCGACCGAATTCGCTTTGTACCTAACAAATTACATAATTCTGCAAAAAGAGCTGATTCGAATTGACGGCCTTGGTCGGTAGTTATACGCGCGGGCACGCCGAATCGAGCAATCCAAGTCGAGAGTAAAGCTTTAGCAACGGTGTTAGCTTCCATGTCGCTAAGAGGGACTACTTCAGGCCAGCGAGAAAAACGATCGACGCATGTTAGACAATAACGGAACCCTTGACAATAACTCATGGTTATAATATCAATGTGTATATGTTCGAATCGATTGGCTAATTTCTCAAATTGCGCGACTGGAGAGTACACGTGTCGAGTAACTTTGCATCGTTGGCATGAAATGCACGCTCGCGTCCACTCTTTACAATTTTTGTTAATATTAGGCCAAACGAAACGCGAAGTTACCAGTTGTTGAGATGCGCGTGTGCCAGGGTGCGAAAGGCAATGTAGTGAGTTAAAAACGGCACGACGTAAAGGTAAGGGCACATATGGTCGTACGACGTCGCTTGTCGTATCACAATATAAATGCACGTTGTAATCCGGAAAATAAACCTTTTTCAGTTTCAATGACGAAATTTTGGATGAGAGCAATTCGCGCAACTCGAGATCGCTTTTCTGAGCAGAAGCGAGAGAATCGTGATCGACGGATGAGGCGATTGCTTCGACGCGAGACAAAGCATCGGCAACACAATTTTCGGAATCTTTAATATGCCTAATATCAGTAGTGAATTGCGAAATGTAATCCAGATATCTAAATTGACGTGGTGAACATTTATCTAAATTCTGCTGGAAAGCGTAAGTAATAGGCTTATGGTCCGTAAAAATTGTAAAGTTCCTACCTTCCACCATATATCTGAAACGTTTAACCGATTTGTAAATCGAGTAAAGTTCTCGGTCATATGCGCTGTACTTTCGTTCGGTCTGCGTTAAAAACTTGGTGTAAAAAGCTAAAGGTTGCCATGCATTATTCACGCGTTGTTGCAAAGCACCTCCAATGGCAAAATCCGAAGCATCTACGACAATGCTGATGGGCGCGCCAGGAACGGGGTGCGCAAGCATTGTTGCTTTTGCGAGAGCGCCTTTTGATTTATTAAAAGCGTCACGAGCTTCATCGGTTCAGTTTACGGGTTCTTTGCTTTTCCTCACGCCAGTTAGCAAATTGTTCAATGGTTGGAGAATAGCGGCGGCGTGAGGTACGAATCTACGATAAAAGTTAAACATACCGAGATAACCGCGGAGACTTTTAATCGTAGATGGCAGCGAATACTTGATGATCGACTCAACGCGTTCTTCCATCGGGGCGATGCCGTTACAATTAACTTTGTACCCGAGAAAAGTTATTTCGCTTTGACCGAACACACATTTCCCGGGATTAACTACCACGCCGTACTCAGAAAAACGATCGAACAAAATCTTCAAGTGTTCGAGGTGTTGCTTCTCATCAACCGATGCGATCAAGAAATCGTCGATGTACGCAAATACAAAATCTAAACCGCGTACAATCTAGTCAACAAAGCGTTGGCACGTCTGCGCAGCGTTTCTTAGACAGAACATCATCATGAGCGGCTCGAATAAACCGAAAGGCGTTGTAAGCGCTGCTTTTTCGGTGTCTTCCGGTGCGATGGGAATTTGATGAAACGCGCGCACGAGGTCGATTTTCGAAAATACCTTTTTGCCGTGCAGATTATACGCAAAATCTTCGATGTGTGGCGGAGTGTAGTTGTCTGCGACGGTGCGTTCGTTGAGGGCGCGATAATCACCGCATGGACGTGGGCTTCCGTCCTACTTGGCAGCGACGTGGAGTGGCGTCGACCATGGGCTCTTCGATGGTCGAATGACGCCTTGCCGCAACAGCATACCGAATTCGGCTTTCACCACCTTCATCCGGTCAGGTCTAAGGCGACGAGGCTTCGCACGTATTGGCGGACCAGGCGTCGTCTTGATATGGTGCTGTACTCGGTGCTTGACTTCGCCTTTTCGAAAACTTGGCGGGCGCGTGAGGTCCGGGTACTTGGCCAGAAGCTCGTGATACACAGAAACACCGATCACTGTTTTAACTGATGCCTTTCCATACTCGGACGAAATTCCGCGCACTGACAAACCTGTGGTATTATCGATCAAGGTTTTTCTTTTTGGATCGATTAACAAGCCATAGTGCGAGAGGAAATCCATTCCAATAATCGCGGAACCCACGTCGGCGATGACGAACGGCCAGTTAAACTCGCGGCGTAGCGATAGGTTAAGACATAGGGGCACGATTCCGTAGGTGCTAATTGTAGATCCGTTAGCGGCAGAGTTCGTAAGCACTTTTCTTGGTCTCCTTGGCAAGCCATTTTCGCGGGTATACGCACAAGTGAGCACCGGTATCCACGAGGAAAGATTTATTTGAATTAACGTCCTTCACATGAATTCGGCGATGCGCGAAGTCGTCAGAACTCGCCACGTTTACTGACGGCGCGCGTCGTTTCCCGACCAGGTACATCGTCCACGGCACTTTTCTGCACGCTCCTGAAACCTTTTATGGTAAAAACAAAGGTACCCGTCCGAGGAATCGTTATTCGACATCGGTCCAGGAGTTTTACCGCGACCGCGTTTTTCGTGTCCTCGGCGGGAGCGAGAGCGTGAACGGCTTTGCTGATTGGTAATCGCGTCGATTTTCGCCGTAAGCTTGCGCATCTGCTTGACGAGAGCAACGAAATCAGAAATTTCGCTGACCTGCTGCCTAGGCTGTTGAGGGTTTACGGCGTGAACCGTGTCGGCCAGCTTCAGAACTTTATCCAAAAGATCTTTCACCAAAAAGGCACTATAATACTAAAATATTTGGAAATTGTAATACAAAACAAATTTCCTCATTTTCATGGAGATATGTCTTTCGTATATGATAATTAACAAATTTTGTAAAATTTATTTATTTTGTTTCATAGAAAGAAATGCTTTAATAGGAAAATTAATTACGAAAGAATTTATTTCATTTTCTTGAAAATCTTTCCTTATATAAACTATACAAAAAGTGTAGCTTTTCCTTTTTTATGAAAATTGTGGCGGGGAATTTGGGGGGATCTAAGCCGCACACACGAAATACCTCCGCCGCAATGCCTGTGGATCCGTTTTCCGGACTAGTGATAATATAGATAGGGTACGTAGTCGGTCAGAATGGCGGATGATCAGCGCGGCTCGATGCGATTTAATGCACGGCGGCAACAGATCCACATGTCCCGGCAAATCAAACACACGATAAATTATACGCGCAATCCCTAAATTTCGACGGTGAGTAGCACTTAACCTAATTATCTGAATCCTCGCTCGAGTTAGTCTAGAAAAAAAATGGCGGTTGGTCGGCACAATTCGGTCGGAACACTTTGTTCCCAGCATCTGCGGAATCAAGGATACGGCAAATCACGCACGGCAACACCGAATTCTCACTAATAAGTGGCACTTTATCTACTTACGTACTTCAGACCTGAAGATTCACTCGACTGCTTCCAAATCACTCGATTTTCTCGGCTCGTAGCAGGATCTGCTTGCAGCGGAGCTCACGATCAGTGACAAAATGGACAAGTAACGACTCTTCAGGGTCAAAGATCCTTTACTTCTCCTCTTTCCGAGAAGAAATTATTTTATTGGCCGATATGCTAATTCGGATATCGGTAGCACCCTCCGAATATTTCCGTCATTGGTCAATATGGAAATTAGAAAAGTAATAGTGCCCTCATTTTATTTCCTAGCTCGTCGCTATTTTCCCTCTCTCACCCCCTACTAAGTCGGTCAGCATTGATTGATGAGAAAGATCTACCCCTAGTCCTATTTATTTTTCCGTGCGGACGGAAATCAAATTTTATTCTCATTCGTTTATTGGTCGTGATATCACCGGTGAGTTTGGTCAGAGGTTCCAATTTCATCAGTCAATTATGTTGATTTAGTATAACAGACTATTTGTCGTTTATGAGTATGCCTGTTTCACTTATTCTTGTTTAGTCTGTCTCGCTTGCTCTCGTTTAGACACCATGCTTTGCTGCTGGTCTCTGGAGCACCTCCTGGAGCGCTCCCCCTCGGTCATGTGTGTACATCCGGATGTTTGCCAGTGGTCAGCTGCAGTGTGTGTGGCGCTTAGGGTGTCGTCAATGGTACGCAGCAACCTGGCACAGCTGATTGCCCACTGCCGCTTCATCTACGATTTCCTAGTCGCTCCGGATGTGTCAGCTTCCCCAGAATATGGGCTGGATGTGTAACGTGTCCACTCGCACGTATTTTTGCTGCATTTTTCTGTCGGTTTTCCTGTATGTTTTCCTCCAGTCAGCAACACGTGGTCAGGAGTGTGTATGTGCATGTGCTCTCTTTTTTCATCGTGGGCTCCATTTTCACTCATCGGTCGGATCGCGCGGTTTGCCTCGTTGCATCGTTTTGCCGGTCGTGGATGGGCGAATTTGAAAATAAAGTAGGGTTTCTATTAGGGCGCGAGTAAAACAATTTTATTCGGCTGGTTACGGGGCGGCAAGGGGCGGGGGTAGCTTCTCTGCGATGTTGAAAGTAATGCAACACTCTCAGGCAAAGCCTTGTAATGCATCGCATTACAAAATACATCACTATAGATTTTTTATTTCACTACATAGAGATTAATTAAATATTTACGTTGAATCACATTTCCTATAATCTTCATTAATGTTCAAACTTTTCTTCGAATATATTCTTCAAAGTTCATTTGAAACACTCGTGATAACTGATTACTAGAAACAAAATCTCTTTTATAGAATATTTGGTATTTTATAAAAAAACATGAGATCTAAATAAAGCTTGATCTCTTTAAAACCTAAGAAAGTTTTGTAATGAACTTGTCATTACAAACTTATCGTTCACTCAGCAAGTGTGATTAACTCCAGTGAGTTTATCATTAACGACAAAAATTAAAAACTAAACTTTATCCGGCATGTGTTTTCATTTTAAACTCACTTTTTCAGTAACAAACATTTCATTTAATTATGATTAACAAATGAGCAAATTTTTTTTGTATTAGCTTTTGTACTGGCAACCTGAAACAAGTACTTCACAAATAAGAGCATTATTTCTAGGAGCAGTCATGCACTTATCCTCGGGCATGATATGCATGCATTACTCGTACATTCCCTTGTACTACAGGTCCTGAGCGCTGCTTCAATAAACTTTCATCCTGTAATCTGTTAATACTCTTGTATAACAAACTTTGTAGTAAATTTATGATTGTTTAATTTTTTATTTTGTCTCTAACACGAAAAAAAGTTTTGGAAAATTATTGTGAATTTTCTATGAAAGACTGCTCTAAATAAAAATAATTTTCACAAAATACCGATAACAGGTCTACTCTATTTATGTATTCTTTAGTCTGGATAAGATCCTTATAAAGTACGTATCAAGTTGATAATTGTACTAATTCTATTTAAAATAATAATAACTTAAGCCAGAAGTATATTCTTTCAAAGATTGTGCTTGTTGTTAAGTAGATACTGTTGATCCTGCGATGTCAATATAGAAATAATTATTATAGTTTTACTCAGAATATTATAAATATAATGAAAATCGTACATCCTCATAGGTATAATATTAATGTACGAGTGTATGTAATATTAATGTCGTATCATCAACTCATAGGCTTGCGACTTCAAACAGAATTAAATCAGCAAGACATATATTCCTAAAGTATCTTGATGTGAAACAAATTCTTCTAAATATTTATGTTTATTATTATTCATAGTTGAATACATAGTTCTGAGAATAAAAATATAAATATACATTTGTATTTTATATGTTACAAATATACATTTTTTTTATCCGCTTCATAGTTGGTCTGAATAATTTTGATCGAACTACCAACTTCTTTTTCTTTTTATATTGGTTCTAACTTATCCATTCATCAACTGTTTGTGCGCAAGCGCATTTTGAGGTTATTGTTGATGGTAGATACAAATTGAAGAGAATTTCGTTTATAAAGAAAAGTTTTCTTGTCTGTAACATAACATTTAGAGCGTTCTCCGGTACTCATTTGAGGATGTAGGACGTCCCAGGTTATTCAAGTGCAGAGATTAATC